CGACGTGTCCTCTGTTTTCTGATGTACTAATAATAGACTTCTTTGCGCATGAGCATAAAAGTGAAAATCACTTGACTTGATCTTTTACGGTTGATATGCTGGTCTCATAATATTTCTAAGAAGGTCGTAGATATTGGCTGTTATTTGAAATGTATTGTTGTGTATTATTTTCAGATTGTCTGGGCCAATCCTCAAGGGTTCTAGCATAAAATCATTGTTGTGTATTAAGATGCTTAGCATATAACCGACGTACCGATGGACTCAAACCAGCTGCGTATCCCAAGCCTGCAGTTGCGAGTTCCTAATATGGGTAAGGTAAAAATGTATGAGATAAGATAGTAGGGCATGCATGCATACAGGCAAGCCCCCCTTAGACGTTGCATGTACGGAATCTAAAACGCTTGGGGTTGTCCGTGGCCCGTCTTGTCCATCAACTCCCTAGCCAGCCTACAGCCTTTACTTCCTGGTAGCCTCTGAATACCGCCTGGTAGTATATTGATCCATGCTGACAAATTATGCATCTGCCTCATAGTACATTACCGGTTGGAAGCAGTTTTTATAATTTGGTTAATCACTCCAAAATTATCACTCCTTCCTGTTTACCAAATCATTCCGATGTTTCCATCCAATCCTTATCATCCCTTTACTACAAGCTTCGAGTTTCAGGCGCATTAGCACACCCAACAGGAAAACAAAATTAAACTCGATTGTCATTTAACAATACAATGCTGTGGTAATTAATTCGGATAAACCATGTATGAGGGATATTCTATACCAGAAACATACGGAATTTGTACGTTTTATTACCTAATACATCCTTGGCTTCCTGCCGTCCGCTGCCCATAGCCGCAAGTATGCTATGATACAGGCTTACGTCTACTTGTTTGGTTAACGATTAGCTGGCTTTATCAACCGTACACGTCACCTACATCTACCCTTCATGTGTAGCGCCCGCACTCGGTGCCGCTGGTGTGGGTTTTTTTGTGGAAGCGAGTGGACGACGTGTGTTTACCACTCGCACTGGGCGCGCCACTTCAGGCATTGCGACTGCAATCGTAAACAAACATTATCAGTCTATGGATCAGAAAACGTACCTAGAAGACGGTAAGTGCCATACGAAATTCAACTCCCCTCGCTCCATACTAACCATCTAGATTTCGATCCCAAGTCCTTAAAGGTCGCGCAATTGCGCGGCATCTTGGTCGAGCATCGCGTCCAATATCCGTCCAACGCCAAAAAGTCTGAGTTGGTGAATATTTTCCTTGAAAAAGTGTACCCACAAAGACGCCAGTTGCGAGACGCATACTGGAGCGCCGTCAACAATCCAAGTACGAGTGGGTTCATCGACAAACAAAAGTCTTCGAAAAATTCAAGCAAGAAAGATGGTAAATCGGATAACAAGTTAAAGGATGAAGAATCACATAGGAAGAAGCTGAAAAAGAACAAGACTGATTCGGCCCCACAGAAGAAGAAACTCGCAAAAGAGGAGGAGAGTTCCGACGTGGTCTCTTCCCGAGAGTCGACTTTCAGTGAAGAGAACATCTTCCAGTCACCGCCTTCAGGTCCTGGTCCCCATGGAAAGAAACGTAAAGGTGTCACCCAGGATGTCACACCACTGCCCAAGAAGGCGCCAGTTGGCGGGCTTTTTGATAATGAGAGTGACGAAGTGGGTTTCCGTGAAGAGCTTCTCAAGAGCTTTACTCCTAGGAAAAAGGTCAAAAATAGCAAGACTGTTAAGGCAGAGACTGAAACTCTCCAGCCAAAAGTTGCTTCTCCCAAGCAAGAAACGTCTGTGCACCTGACACCTTCCAGGAGCATCATCACCTCGCATTCGAGTATCTCGACTCCGAAACTTTCTTCTATTGATCAGTTTGACAGTGATGCGTCTACCGACAATGAGAATGAAGATCCGGTCCAGGTGTCGCCAAAGGTAGCTTCGCCAAAGGTAGAATCATCAGAGTTAACTCCAAAGGTAAAGTCTCCAAAATCTCCAAAGGTAAAGGTAAACTCTCCAAAGTCTCCAATAGTAAAGTCTTCTCCCAAGATGAAGTCTCCAAAATCAGCATCTTCCAACACACCTACAAAGTTCCAGCTCAAACCATCTGCCTTCACCACTCTCGAAGAAGAAGCTCAAGACTTCGACAAAGTGTTAAAGAAAAAGCACGACGACGAAATACCACCATTCCACGAGTCCGCAAGTATCATCAAGTTGACTCCAGGACCCAAACTCGCCCCCAGACCAAGGTCAATAGATGTGATCTCAGAGTCCTCATATGTCGAGGATGAAGAAAGTGAAGACGAAGATCAAGACGAAGATCAAGAAGAAGATACCCAACCAACCCCCAAGAAGTCCTTGGCTCCAATTCTTTTGTACATTTGGCTTTGGTTCCTTCTCTCTCTCACCGGGTTCTTCTTGTTCTGGTATCGAGAACAAAGCTTCTTGATCGGATACTGTGGCAGTTCCATTGACGAACCAACTTTCTACAATTCCCAGTATCCAATTGTCAACAGTTTAGGGCAGTATTTGGACTCGTTCAAACCCCAATGTGTGAAGTGTCCTGGACATGGTAGATGTTTTGAGTACTTGGAGTTGGCATGCTACGAAGATTTTGTGGTGTCCAAGCCTTGGTACTATGATTTAGTACCGTTTTTGCATCCTTCGGAAAAGAAATGTGTTCCTGACACCAAGAAGGCGGAAAAGCTTGAGGCCATGATCAACTTCTCTTTGGATATCTTACGGTCCAAGAATGCCATGGTCAATTGTGGAATCGGAAACGATAATGAAGAAAGTGGACTTTCCCAAGATGACTTGTATGAGCTTTTACTTTCGATGAAAGCTCCGTACATCACCTTGGAAGAATTCAATGAACTCTGGGAACGATCACTTGTTGAAATCGAAAAAGAACCCGAAATAATTGTAAGGCAAGTTAATGTTTAAATTCAACCCCACTTCAGCGTTTTACTAACTCATTTCTAGACTGAACTTTCACATCGTCACGTACAACCCATCGATTCGCATCACCACCAAAGACATGAGGAGAAAACCAAGAACCAAGTTTTTCGATCAACGTCCCTACAAAACCTTAGTTTAAAGTGCCAATTACAAAGCACTTTGGTGCTAACTCTTTACAGGAATAAGGATTCTATCATTGGTGTGATGGTGCTCACCATCATCGTGATTATCATTAAACTCCAGTACGACGAGCATTTAAAGCAGAAACACAAAATCAACCAGATCTACCACGACATCATCCACAAGTTGCAAGAGCAACGGCTGCAGCCTATCAAGTACATAGGGGCCAACCAGTTGCGAGATTTGATGTTGATCGAGACCAATCTCAAGTATAAGTTGAACTTGTGGAAGCAGGTGAGCACTAAGATTGAGAAGAACTCTAATATAAGCTACCGGTTGATTGAACATCACGGTGAAATCATCAAGGTGTGGGAGTGGGTAGGCACTGTTGGCTGATGCAAAGATATATATATTAATATACAGTAATAGGTAGACAATGCTTAATGTAACAGTGACAATATACCAGTTTGTCACTCATGGGTTTCTAAACCTTCACCAGGTCAAAAGCCTCAACCAAATCGTCGTCATTGGCCAACCCCTTCTCAAATATCTCCCGTCCACTCATTTTCCCACCATGTTGGGCCTTGTAAAAGTTGGCCAACCGCTCGTCTACCCCCAATTCCTTCCTAAACTGCTCCCTCCATTTATTGAACGATTCAGTGGTCACCTTGGTTCCAATAAACTTCTTCGACAGTTCAGCTTCCTGTTTGTTCAACTCATCTTCACGGTGCTTCTCCAACACTCCCAACTTACGCCGAAAGAGGTCTTCACCTTCGTCCTTCATCAACGTTATAATGGCAAATACCGATGGCATTCCTAATTGCAACTCGGCTTCCTCATTCAACTTGGCCAAGATGCTCTTCAAATCATCTCTATCAAAGCTCACCTGCTCCGGCAAGTTGATGTTTCGGGCCAACTGGCGGGCATCTTCGTCGCTGTCGTCGTCGCTGTCATCATTGGCCTCGTACTCCTCCTCTTTAGCCAATGTCATCTGTGGAGGCTCATTGGGGTATTCGGGAGGATACTTAACTGATAACACCAAAGTGTGAATTTTAGAAGAAGTGGTGTCCAACTTGATGCTCACAGTGAACAGAGATTCGGAGTGCTTCTCCAACTCATCGGGGTAGATCAGGTCAAGCACTTCAAGCTCCTGCTGTTGTTCTTCGAGTGGATCCATCGTGGTGGTGATGAATTTTCTGCTAGTCGCTGCGAGCGCGAAACCAAAACCAAATTCCACAAGGATCGACTATAACATGGCACCAGGAACCAATCTATACCCGGATTCCACGCAGGTCAAGGACTTTGCGTACGCCGAGCTGCACCCACTTCACAGCGCCTGGCAGGAGCCTCGCTCAGTGTTTGATGAGGAAGAGGATGACGATATGCTTGACTATGACTACGGGTTCTACCCAAGAGCCAACACTAATGACAATGAAGATGATGATAATGACTATAAAAACAACGATGATAACATGGAGATTAACCAGCGGGCGGTGGTGCTCTTTGACTTTGCCCCTGAAAATGAAAATGAAGTTGCTTTGACGGAAGGACAGATTATCCTTATTAGCTATCGCCATGGGCAAGGGTGGTTGGTGGCAGAAGATCCTGACACGGGGGAGAACGGGCTTGTGCCGGAGGAGTACGTGCAGATACTTGAAGACTCCACTAAGGAGATTCCTCGACCGTTTCTACCCGAGATTTTACAGGAGCCTATAGGTGAGATGGCGGAGAGTGAGAGTGAGTGGCTTGACACGGATGACGAGGACCCGGAGAAGGGGGTGGATGAGTTGGTGGGACATGTTCAGAGTGTGCTGATTGGGAGGTAGGGAGACACTGACAGATATTTGAAGATGATGTGAAGGTCAATTGAAGAACATTCTGAAGGTAATTTGAATGATTTACTAAAGCTCATGTGCTGATGCTCGAGAACTAAATAGATGCTGTTCAGATCAGATGTATCACTCCTGTCCGTTCCACCAGATCAATCGAGTGTCAAATACTGACAAACCACTAAATACTGACAAACAACTCACATACTGACAACCACTAAATACTAACCACAACTGACAACAGTCTACCACGACTCTCCTATGTACATATGTAGTTACTAATACACCAATAGACATGAGCTATACATCTCAGTGACTCTCCGTTTTTGTGACGCAGACACCCCACCATGCCTTCGGGTGAGTTCTCAGATCTCACCTTCTCACTTTCTCATCACCATCGCGACCGCCATTCTCCATGCCTACACCAATTCCCTCCACCCCCAAACCCTCCACCAACGAACGACGCCAGTTCCACGGCAACCGCAACTACATCAACTACTACAACACCACCGTGCGAGAGTTTTTCCACGGAACCCCCCAGCATTTCACTGAATCCAAAGTATCCATCACCGGATCCAAATACAAGCGCCACCAAGGATACTCCAAGTATCCTGGTGTCCAGTGGCTGAGCACCGAGAAAAACACATTCTTCTACCTTCTTTCCAGGCACTCAATCCACCGTGCCGATGTGATTGCCTCCCTGCTCCCATCCAAATCCCTTTTTGAGATATATGCTTACTACGACTTTCTCAAACACACCCTCACGCATGTTAAACGGCTGCAAAAATACTTTCGCAAGCCCAAATCACTCCGTAAGTACCTCGTTAGCTACGCGGAGATGCCACGAGCGCTTGAGCTGAGCCCGGCATTCGTGCAGTTTGAGGAAGTCCAGCTGAACCATATTTGTGCCAAAGACTACATGCGACAGTATGACGAAATCCGCCGATTTCAGCGGTTCAACGGCACCAACGAGCTCCTCGAGGTGCTGGCGGCCGAGGAGTTGGCGCAGTTCCAACGCTATGTTGCGGGCTTCCCGCCCCACCGGGTGTGGAACCTTCCCTATAAAAGTGTCCAGCTCGCGGAGGCCCTCGCGAAAAGCTATCTACGAAGGGTGATGGTGAAACTCCTTAACAAAACCAATGGTGGGAACAAATCGGTGCTAGTACAGAGGCGTCACGTGCGGGATGCCACCAGCTACACCTCCAACTTCTGGGACCATTATTACTACACGAATGGGCAGTTTAGTACCATAGGAATCAAGCAGGAGGAAGTGTTCCGTCCGTCGACCCAGTTCACCCCGCCAGAGCCCAGCTACGTGGTGCTAGGGTTCGGTGATGATGGTAATGGCGGTATGACCATTGACACGGTGCCGCGATTCGAGGTGGTGCACCACGATGAGGAATTGGAGGAGGCGCTTTTCCAGGCAGAGACGGAAATCTTGGACGAGAGAGATGTGCGGGACAGCCAGGACGAAGAGCATGTGTTGTTGACGTACATGGCGACTGCGAACGCGGAGGATGTGGCGCTGGCGATGTTTACAGACGAGGAGGTGAAACAGTTGATAGAGGAGGAAGAGGAGGAAGAGGAGGAAGAGGAGGAAGAGGAGGAAGAGGAGGAAGAGGAGGAAGAGGAGGAGGAAACAGAGGCACCAACGGCAGAACAGGCAGAAGAACAGGCAGAAGAACAGGCAGAGGTACGAACAGCAGAACAAACGGCAGAACAAACGGCACATGAAGAATCGGAGGACACCAACAGGCAGGCTAGTGCAGAAGATAGTAGCTATGAAGACGCACAGGTCCCCAATGACAACCAACGTCCAGCCAACGACCCACCGCCAACCTCTCGCCAGCTCCTACGCTTCATGTACACTTTCCCCCAATACTAGCCCTCCATTCAACTACTGACTTCGCCTCCATGTACACTTTCCCCCAGTACTAGCCCTCAACTACTGGCTTCGCCTCATGTACACTTCCCCCAACATTAGCCCTCCGTTCAACTACTGACTCGGCTTCCTACACCTATTTTAAAGGAAAACTACTGACATATTCAAGTTCTTGCGACCAACCGAAACCGGTTGGGCTTTACTAACTGGTATTTATTACTAGCTCATTATAACGTTACCATCTTGTCAACGCCCACATGTACCACCGTCATATACCACCTGCATTATAAGCGTAACCACTAAAAAATAATCCTGTCGACTGTGCCCTTCATACGGTAAAAACTCGTCTTCAAATTGGTTGAACAACTCATACAAAATATACTGATACAAACAGTAGATCTTCAACAGGTTTTCAAGAAGTCGGTACGCCGTCATTGTCCATGTATCGTAGTACACTTTGAAAGATAGGTTGATGCACATAAACGAGTTTGTCAATAACACCGGCAATATGTTGTTGTTGAAATTCACCATCAAATGGGTAACCCCCATGTGGCCCCGAAAATAGTCCAAAATGTTGATCACATTCATCACCGCTGGACACACAATCTGGAGGTAATAGAGCACCGACACCCAGCTCCATGTTAACACTATCCCTAGCGTTAGCACGTTGTGAGCAAGAAACCCAAACTGCACCACGAGAAGAACCAGTTCCCATGCTACATTCAATTGGGTGTTGAGGGCAAACCGCGTGAGAAACACAAGGTTTAACACACTCGAGTAAATGTCCCACGCATAGTCATTGGCATCGAGTTTTTGAGCATCCTCTGGATGATTGTGAAGTTGTATGAGCTGGCTCACGTGGATGTACGACCCCACCGCCGTGAGTGCCACTGCTGCCACTGCGGGCCCGTGCACCACTCCGATAAAAGTTTTTATGCCGTGAAGGATTTGAACTTGCATCCCTCTATAGCTATGGGAGGAGGATCTGGTAGACCTAGTATGCTTTTCCTCAACCATTTAGTTGTTTGTTTGTTTGTTTGTTTGTTCCGAATGATTGGGTTTAAATATACAAGCGGGTAAGCAAACGCAGCGCCAGGATAGCTAATTAAGGTTATAAATAACTCAATCTACTCGGTGGTAGGGTATGCGCTATTTATAGTCGGCGATAAATGCCAGCCCACGTTTGACGTAAAGTAGACGTGGCGGGAGTGCGAGTACCACGAACCCGGTACGACCCTTATCTCTATCGCAAAGGTATCGTTATTATCGCTAGTATCCTACCGACTAGCAATACCCTCAGCTGTTTGAACATAAGCTTTACCAAAATTGAGTTTCTATCATTCAACATTTACCAACTTCGCCACCGCACCGCTGCCAACCTGATAACCATTCCTGGAGGCTTTGGCGCGATGAGAAGTTTTTTTGACCCCTAGCAGAATGCTTTCGCGACACAGCTTTCGCGACAGAGTTGGCGCGACAATGTCCACAATTTTGACGATGTCGCGCGTCCCGCCCTTCGTCTGCCCATCTCTTCTCATTGGCGTGCGATCTAAATGCGTTATCGCTTTTCGCGCAGTTGCAAATTCAACTACAATATCATGAACCGGGTGAACTCATTGTACACCCGCCAGGCACTCGTGCGGAGCATGAGCGCCGTCGCTACATATCCATCACCACTCCACGCACACCCGCCGCCCAGCTCAGGCCCCCATGGCGTCGAGGGCCGCACCCCCAATGCCCATGCCGCACTGGCCGCTACCCTGTTGTCTGTCACAGACCCGTTTATTCTCTACCAAAACTACGTGTCACAAGGCCTCCTCGAACGCGATGAGTTCCAGCTCCGCGCTATGAAGGAGTTCCAGAAGCTCTACCACCGTGTTATTGACTACCGGCCACCCGAAGATCTCCAGATCAAAATCAGCCTTCTTCTTAGAAAGATCGAATTGAAGCACGCCCAGCAGATCATGGACGACCAGGCCAAACAGGGTCGCCGATTGCACCATGTACGGTTCGGTACCCTCAGCCGACTCTTTCGCCGGGATCCCAACGCTGAGAAAATGCTGCTCATCAAAATCATCACCGACGAGGAGGAGTTGAGTAACTTCCTGTCTCCCCAAGGACTACTCATAAACGGAGAGGTTGGGTGTGGCAAGTCGATGTTGATGGACATTTTTGCCTCGTCTTTACCCCACCAGTCCAAGATGCGGTGGCATTTCAATAACTTCATTTTATGGGTGTACAACGAGATCCACAGCATTCAGAATGAAAAAATCCTCACTGCCAACTTGCACGGGTATCACTCCCGGCTCCTGATGGAGAACGAGTTCATCTTGTTTGAAATTGCCCAGAAAATGATCAACAAGAACACAATTCTCATGCTTGACGAGTTCATGCTCCCCGACATCGCGTCTGCCAACATCATCAAAATCTTATTCACCTACTACTTCAAGCTCGGCGGTGTGTTGGTGGCCACCTCCAACAAGCTCCCCGAGGAGTTGTACTCGAACGAGTTCCACAAGTCCAAGTTCAAGACCTTTGTCAACATTCTCAACTACCGGTGCACCTCGGTGGATATGAGGTCCAGTAAAGACTACAGAGTACAGCTTTCGGCCCAGAACCTCCTGGACTGCAATGCCACCGTCGTGTGGAACAACCCCAACCACACGGCCGAGTGGAACCGGTTGATCAAACTGAAAGTGTTGCAAATCCCCCACCAGTCACCATTAATGGCACCCGAAATCGCCATTGCAGATTCCCGTCTAGGAGGCATTCCTGGATCATTCAAAGTCTACAGCCGTGTCACTCACCTTCCAGTGACATTCTCATCCCGCATCTGCTACCTCGACTTTGACTACATTTGCCGAGGTCTCTACGGCTCATCCGATTATATCACCCTCGCATCAAACTACAGCACCATAGTCCTCACCAACGTGCCAATTCTCACCACCAAAATGAAGAACGAGGCCCGGAGATTCATCACCCTTCTTGATGCTCTCTATGAGTCCAAATGCCAGTTTTACATCAAGTCTGAGGTTCCCATCGACTATACCTTTTTCCCCGATGCGCAGGACTCAGAGGCACCTGAGGAAATCAAACAAATGGTCCGGGACCGCAACGACAATAACTTAGAGGTCCAGGATGAGGAAATGTTCTCCAAAACGTCCATTGCCACCTCCAGTCCCTATCGGCCCAATGTCTCCACCTACGACCAGAATCATACAATCGAGTACCGCGAGTCGCAAGTCAGTAATTATAAGGACATCACCGCTTTCACGGGAGAAGACGAAAAGTTTGCCTACAAAAGAGCGGTGCTGAGAATCAAGGAGATGGTAGGCTCAACTGCGTGGAGACAGGCTGATCGGTGGGTACCTATTGATGATACCATGAGACCCTGGGAGGTCACCTCCAATCCCACCACCACCAGAGATATCCATCTCCAGCCACAGCAGCTATCACCCGAGGCCGAAGAGCAGGTGGATGAACAAATCCGTGAACTTTTGCACAATAAGGGCAAATTAATTCTGTCTTTACCGAGAGATATTGCAGGAGATATGAGAATGCCGTTCCGGATGTTCAACCGCAAATTGGCACCTATTTTTTCTAACATCCAACATTTCTGGTCCATGGGCCAATGGAACCGCCTGCGGAAGGTTAAGGACGAAATTGCCCGCTCGTGGCTCAATTCCACTAATATGAGAGATTAGTAGTGCTGTATAATTTCCTAATTTGCTCAGTTGCTTTTCCCGAAACGGCATAGGTGTATGGAACCAAATTCAATGAGGGGCCTACCAGCCTCGTGGTGCGACAACCAGGCCCTCATGGGAGGCACTCGTGACGCAATAAACTGCTAACAGGAAAGAGGCCGCGTGTGCGCACCAATTCCGCGAAAATTCTTCGGCAGTCTTCTAAAGTGGTGGGCAAAAATCTTTCACCTCCAACTTACTTCTTTTCTTAACAGTAATTCAAATATGTCCAAGGTTTTCTTCGATATCTCCGCCAACGGTGCCAAATTGGGTAGAGTCACCTTCAAGTTGTACAACGATGTTGTGCCAAAGACCACCGAAAACTTCAGAGCCTTGTGCACTGGTGAAAAGGGTTTCGGATACGCCAACTCTGCTTTCCACAGAGTCATTCCTCAATTCATGTTGCAAGGAGGTGATTTCACCAGAGGTAACGGTACCGGAGGTAAGTCCATCTACGGAGAAAAGTTTGCCGATGAAAACTTTGCCAAGAAGCACGAAAAGCCTGGTTTGTTATCCATGGCCAACGCTGGTCCTAACACCAACGGATCTCAATTCTTCATCACCACTGTTGCCTGCCCATGGTTGGACGGAAAGCACGTTGTTTTCGGAGAAGTTGTCGACGGATACGACGTTGTAAAGCAGGTTGAATCCTACGGTTCCAGCACTGGTGCCACCAGAGCCAAGATTGTTATCGAGGCTTCCGGTGAGCTCTAAGTAGTGGGCCTGGTACTGCCGTGGGTCTTATATAGAGCAAGTTTTGGTTTATATTGAGTATACAAGCAGTGGTTTGAGTATAGTTTTATTGACTTTAACCAGTGGTATATGAGAAATTTCACAACTTGGCAGTGATAATTCCCTTAATCCCACTGTTCTCCATTCCCTGGTCATCCTTCTTCAAGTACGCCACCACGCCCTTGGAGATCACCATCGCAAACCGTTCACTCCGGTAACCCATCCCAAACTTGGACTTGTCAGACCCCAATTTGTGAGATGCCGTGAACTGTCCATTGGGATCAGATGCAAAGTACACATTTCTTTCAACGTTGTATTTGTTGACAAGAAGTTTCCCCCACGCGTTCAAAGTGAATGCGTCGTTCACCGAGTACACCACGACGTTCTTAATTCCTAGGGCATCGAGTTTATCAAAGTTGGTTAAAATCTCAGGGAGGTGCTGTTCAGTGCAGAGAGGCGAAAACGCCGCCGGCACCGAAACTACGAGGAGATTTCCGTCGGCAATGAGCTTATCAAACGAGAGCTTCAATGGCCGTGAGCACGCGAGGGCGTCCTCGCCCTTTGACACGGGGATATAGAGGAATTCGATTCCTGAGGGAAATTTATCACCTTGTTGCATATGAGAAGTGGTTAGCCGGAAAAACCCGAAGTATACTTTTTGAGGGTTAGGCTACTATACCAATGAAAGATCCGGGTCAGTTACCTAATAACTGGTCTGGGTTTATCAATAAATGCACTGTCTCCACAATTGAAAGCTTGTAGTCAGTAGCGAACTGTGATATTTTTCCCGCGCTGCGAAGTTAAATAAATCCCCATAATCAAATCAACCCCATAAACTGTAAATGGACACCTACGACGACAATCCGTGGCACGATGAGGAGTTCAACATCAAGCCTATCCGTCTTGCTAAGAGACGCACGTCTCTACCACCACCCGCACCAAGCCTCGAGTCCTCGTCCCCTGACGAATTCAAAATGCGTCCCATCAGATTGACCAGCAGAACCACCAACAACGACAAAAAATCCTTTGAAGACGATCACAGGCCTCGTAACAGCAAGGATCTCAGTCCTATAATAAGTCCCAACACCCCACGCCGTCGGTCCATCCAGATAAAGAACTTACCTGTCATTTCCAGCTCTCCTCCCAAGTTGAGGATCGATAAGAACTCCAACGACTTTATATTTGCCATCTGTTTGGTCGACTTCCACCACATCCGGGGGCCTGAGATTGAATGGTGGAAGTCCAACTATGTGCCCGAGTTGGATGCCAGCCTTTTCAAGAACTTACCGTTTCAATCTCTCCCAGACGGGTCTCATTTATTTGAGGAAACCTTTTCCAACTTCAACTTGGTATACGACTTTTCCACCAACAAGTCGTACGACAATTTGAACGACTTGATAAACTTTAACGACGACCCTCGAAACCTCCAGACGCTATTTGGTTGTGCTTGTGTGCGTCAGATCAATATCAATGAGTTAAGCCCGGAGGAACTTGAGAGAAACAAGGATATCAAGCGGTCAATTGTCCAGAAAGCATTGGTGATCATCAACCGGAACAAACCCATCTTCACCAAAATCAAGGATAAATTGTCGATTATAACCAGATCCTACTTCTTGCAGGAGAACCTTCTGAATTACGAAGTGCTCGACAACTTGTTTAACAATTTAAACCACGAAATCAACTTTGACGACAACGAGGAATTCTTCATTAATTTAAACCTCAAGCAGTCACTTCTCCAACTCCGGTCCAACTTCTTGACTATCTTCAAGGCATTGTTGTTGGAGAAGAAGGTGCTCATTTACTCGAATAACAAACTCGAACTTCTAACGAAGTTCCAAAATAACTTGATCAGTTTGATCCCCAACCTCATCAACAACCTCGTTTACTCGGGGTGTCAGTTAAGTGACTACCAAGAAAACTTCACCGGGAAGCTTATGCAACCAGTGTCATTGAATACAGAGAACCGGGATTCTATGTTGAACTTCTTTGGTCTTCCTTTGAAACTCTTCAATACTAAAGGGTCATTCTGGAATCCTTACTTGCCACTTCAGCAAATCAACCAATTGAACTTCCCAGAGACCAAGTCATTTATGATTGGCTGCTCCAATCTCTTGTTCGTGAACCAGCTGCGCGATCTAGGCATCGATTTGCTTATAAATTTGGATACTTATGAACTAACATTCCCCAATGGTATGGATAGCGACTTGGTCTTGTCATCCTTCGACAAAAGTTTCATTAATAATGTTATCAACAACTGCTCCAACGATAAAGTGGTAGTAGAGAACGAGAATTTCGTGGGCAGTGATGACTACATCAGGTATCAATTTGAAGACTACATTCTTTCGTTTGTATCTACAGTTAGATTCAATCAATACTTGGATAAGTTCAACCAGTATCCTCCTGGTTTTACTAACAGCCCCAACGCAGATGCCAATGAAGACAACAATCCCTACAATGGAGACTTATCAGCATTTAACTTGGCATTTGTCGATGAGTGGAAAAAGTCCCACAACTTCGAGATCTGGGACCTCACCTGCGATGAGTTTGTGTTCAACTTCGTGACCCCTCGACATGTGTCAGTTGACTCGACAAACACACTGGCACTCACCAACTTTTTTTCCAACTTGAACTTCAAGTTCATAAAAAATGATGAACCTGACTCTGAAGTCAAGCCCAATAAATTTATAGAAAAGCTTCGGGTTGCTCCTGAGCAGGGTCACAAGCCCAAAAAATCGTCTCTGGATGAGAAATGGAATTTTTTCAAAAGGAGCTCCCACTAATTGTACACTAGACACCCCACTAAATCTTCACCTATTCCAAATCGAGCACAATTTTTCGCATCAACAAATATCTCATCTCTGCAAATGAAGCATCCATTCCAAAATATAGAAGCCACCAGCACCCATTTGTTTGCGACTGTCAAGAACAGCCTCCAAGTGTTCTCTCTAAATGATGGAATACTCGTGGGAGAATGGCTCGATACCGTCGACAGTCAACAAAACTTGGTCAAACAGCATCAAGCCAAGTTTGAGCAGCTTCAGAAACAAGAAGACATCAAACTGAGCTCAGAGGAGCCAGAAACTAAGAGAGCAGAGTCTAACCTGAAGACCAAGATCCCTAAGTTCCCAACTCCAGGACCAGGTGCTCCTCCAATATATAACTATATCAGATGCTTGGAACTAACCAGTGATGAGAAGTATTTGATTGGCACAACCGACAGTGACAAGTCCATCATCATATTCGAGTTGGACTTTAATAGTGCCAACTGTTTGAAGTTGGTCAAGAGACAAGTGTTTCCTAAGAGGCCTTGCTCTATCTCTGTGGCTGATAACAACACCACAGCTGTTGTGGGAGATAAGTTTGGTGATGTTTACAAGATCCCAATAGACTGCGAACCACCTATTGATGAAAAATTGTTAAAACCCATCTTAGGACATGTCTCCATGTTGACCGATGTGTTAGTAGGCGAGAATGAAGGTCGCCAGTACATTTTAACCAGCGACAGAGATGAACATATAAAGGTTTCTCATTACCCACAAACATTTGTGGTAAAGCATTGGCTTTTTGGTCACGATGAGTTCATATCATCTATGATATTCCCTTCCTTTGATAAAACATTATTGGTCACCGGAGGAGGCGATGACTCCATATACTTGTGGGATTGGATCCATAATAAGGCCCTTGCATCATTCAATCTCAGGAGCCTTGTGGAAGCGTATTTGAACGAATCTCACTATCCTCCAGAACGGTTCAGAACAGAAACATCTGTCAAAGAAATTTGTGTTGTGAAAATCGTCAGCTCTGGGAGAAAGATCTTTGTATTGTTGGAGAACGTCACCTGCGTGTTGTATTTCACGATAAATGAAGATTTGACGTTTTCTATAGATAAAGTGTTGGATGTGCCTCATCCTTTGGTAGATTTGACCATTTCGGAAAATCAACTAATTGGAGCTTCTGACTCCGAGAACATCCTCACCTTCATCAACATCGACCCATTCGAGGTTGTCCACAATGAGATTTCCTCCAAAATAGCTGTATTGAACCCATGTGATGTCAGCTCCAGAGACGACTTCTACCCTCTTTACGCCATGAACAACTTGAGGAAAAGAAGTGAACACTAGACATAACTTTGTTACTGTATAAATAAATATAAAATTACAACTTAATTTATTCATCCTTGACAAACCCTCCTTGCTTGCACAAGGAGTAGAACAAGGAATCCTTTTTCTTGAGCAAGTTCTCAGGGCTGTCAAACTCAGCAACCTCCCCCTTTTCTAACACAATGATTTTATCAGAGTCTAAAATGGTGTTGATTCTATGAGCAATGGTCAAGATGGTTCTGTCTTTGAACTCAGCTCTGATGGTCTGCTGCAAGACCTTGTCGGTTTCCACATCAACAGCTGCTGTGGCTTCGTCCAACACCAAAATGTGTGAAGGAATCAACAATGCTCTGGCCAAACACATCAATTGTCTTTGACCCACGGACAAGTTCGAACCACCCTCAGTCAACTTCACTTCTAAGGGGTCAATGATTTCTTCTTCATCTTTCACCTCCTCCTCGCTATCACGTTGTTCACGGTACTCCTCGAACATTTTGAGAACATGGTCTTTCAAGTGAGATAATTCCAAGGCTCTCCATACAGCGTCATCACTGAACTTGGCAAATGGATCCAAGTTACTTCTGATAGAACCTTCGAACACTTGCGAGTCTTGAGGAATAATAGACAACCTTTGTCTCAAATCTTTCAACCCAATAACTGAGGTGTTGATTTCGTCAATGGTAATATTACCTTCAGCAGCTTCGATGATTCTGAACAAAGCCAACGTTAAAGATGACTTTCCAGCACCCGTTCTTCCCACGATACCAACTTTTTCATGAGATTTGATAGACAAGTTAATATTCTTCAACACCAAGTCCAAGTCTGGTCTGTATCGGGTAGAATAGTTATTGAACTCTATTTGACCACTTTGAGGCCAGTTTGCCCCAGGTTTCTTTTCCTCGATCACCTCTGGTGCTTCAGAGTCCAACCTGGAGTACTCCAAAATTCTTTCAACAGATACGATATTGGTTTCCACCTCAACAGTCATTCTAACAATCCAGTTTAAGGTTTGGGTGATTTGCAAAGAGTATGACACCGATAAACCAACCAAACCAGCACTGATGGAACCTGATTTCAAGGCAAAAATAGCAAAACCTGCTGCACCAAGAATGATAATGGAACCAAAAAATTCTAATCTGACAGCCAACCATCTGTTGGAGTTGACTGAAGGATGGTAAGCCCTCATGTTCTTGTCAATTCTCAACTCATTGATGTATCTAAATCTATCAATTTCATTATAAGCTCTGATGGTGTTGACGCCAGTCAAAGACTCCTGGAAGTTAGCATAGATAGGTGATCTCGAAATAGAGTCCAATCTTCTCAACTCTCTAGAAGATCTTAAATAGTACTGTTGATACATCACGTAGAACACGACTAAAGGTCCAACCAAGAAAATAAACTGCCATGTAGAGAAGCAGATAACCATGATGGAGAAAACAGCTTTGAACGAGTTGGAGAAAAACATTCCGAAAACTCTACACAAAACTTCATCCACCTTGTACACATCACTAGAAAATCTGTTCAAAACCCTTCCAATAGGGGTGGTTTCAAAGAAGGACATTGGGGCCCTCAACACAGCGATGGCCATTAGGTTGTGTAACTTACTAGAACCCTTGATAGTACAGTAAATCCACACAATACAGTTTTGAGCCAAAATCGACAATGAGTTGATGAATCCCAATAAAAGATAAATCCCCAAGTAGAAGGGTACATCAGGGTTATAACCAGCACCAGTATTGACCTCAGACCAGTACTTTAACCAAAGAGATGAAGCAACATTCAACCACATATTGAAGACAATCACACCAATCCAAATACAAACAACTTTAGGGTTGCAAGCTTTGGCATATTGGAGATAAACATCCCACTTCACCTTACCTTGCTCAAAGTGTTCCTTTCGTTTGGCGAGTTCTTCGTCATCTTCTTCCTTTGCATCTAATTCGTCTTCCAAACTTTCGTCCAAGGTAACCAAAGAGGCTCCACTTAACGACTGGACGTCAAGTTCGTCTTCAGATTCAAGTTGAATATCAGTAACCTCATCATCCACAAGCAACTCTTGAGATTTAGACTTTTGCTTTTCAGCCTCTTCATTTAACTCCTCTTCGCTTGGTTGCTCTTTGGCTTTACCAAAATCCTTAATCAAGTGAAACAACTTGGAGTCTGGTGCACTTTGAATTTCATCGTAGGAGCCATTTTCAACGATCTTACCGTCAGCAACCATGTGCATGTTGTCGGCAATGCTCAACACACCAATATTATTGGTAGCTAAGATCTTACACTTAGACTTCAACAACCCCTTGGGTCCTAAAACATGGTCAATCAAGTGCTTTCCGACATGTTCGTCAACTGCTGACAAAGCATCGTCAATCAAATAGACGTCCGATCTAGCATAAACAGCTCTGGCCAAAGAAACTCTGGCCTTTTGACCTCCAGACAATGAAATACCCTTTTCACCGACTAAGGTTTCATCACCCTTGGACAAAATCTTCAAGTCAACAGTCAAGGCACAAGCCTTGAGAACATGCTGGTAAAATTCAGGGTCATACCGGTGACCAAACAAAATATTTTCCTTGATACTTCCATTCATAATCCATGGGACTTGTGCCACATAAGCAATGCTCCCATGAACCTTAACCTCACCTTGCAACTTGTACAAATCACCCAAGATAGCTTGAATGATAGAAGACTTTCCACTTCCAACCTTACCAACTATACAGTCTAAGTGACCCTTTTTAGCAGATAAGTTAATGTTGGATAATGCCACTTTATTGTTTTTATCGTCCTTTGGTTTGCTCCACAAGAAGTTCCCCTTTTCAATAGAAACCGCCACTTGACCAATCTCTTCGACCTTAGGTAATCTGATGATAGCATCAGGTTGAAGTTCAGATCCGTGTAAGAACTTGTGCAATCTTCCCAAAGCCACCTGAGATTCAGTGACGTTTGAAATCACTTGAGGAACAACGGCCAAAGGAAAGCCTAGCAAATTGAACAATGCCAACGCTGGGAACACAATATCAGTAGACAAAGGCTTATCTTTTTCAATTACGATGTACAAGGCAAAGGTACAACAACTGACCAACACTGGAGCAAAGTTCCAAATCATCACCGTAATTGACATAAACACTCCGATTCTTTGCAAGTTCTTCAATTCCTTCTCGTTTCTGATATAGTTCAACTTCTCCAAGTAAGCTTCTTCCCACCCGTATAACTTCAAGGATTTGATATTGTTCAAGATCTCCGAAGTCAATCTGGATCTAGCATCCTTATGTTTCATCTGGGTCTTCTGCAAGGCCTTTTGGTAAGTGGCGAGTTTGGAGTTGAAAGGAATCATCACCACCATGATGGCCACACCGGCCCACATGGCATTACCAACCAATCCGTGCAATGAGAAGAGACATAAAAAGATCTGGAAGGGTCCAGACCATCCGATTTGAAGGTAGGAGACTGTTTCTTGTAATCTTTGCACATCCACAGACATTAAGTTCACTATATCACCGGTATTGGATTCCTGTTTAGTCTCGCTCGATAATACCATCGACTTGTTATAGATGACCGATACCAACGACGACTTGATTTTCATACCCACATCAAACACCACCTGAAAGTACTGGTGCAAGAATGAGGTCTGGATCACTGACACCAAAAACATTCCTCCGGCAATCATAAACCCTTTTGTCAAAGGCAATGGTTGGTCGGTTTTCTGTGCTTGGGAGTAATCGTTTACAAACTGGATCAAGAGTCTCAACAACTGAGGTTGCACAAATGCCAAACAATCCTGGGTAAACTTGAACACACTTCCCATTGCAAAGTGCGCACCAAACGACTTGACCAATGCAATGAGAATGGATGGGTTGGGAGTGTTCTGGCAGTACCAGTTCTTATAGAAGATGTCGGAGTTGGTGGTGGCTTTGAGTTCTTTGGGTAAAGGGGGCAAGTCCTTCTCGGTCAAAAACTTATAATAACCTCTTTGAATCAATTCGCCCATCCACACAAATGTGATTTTGGAGAAGATGTTGGCTCTATCATATGGACTGATCCTCTTTGCATCCTTAAGTGGCACAAGAGACTTGATAGGCACCAAAAGTTCAATGACCAAGATCAAAAATGCATTGACCACCATCAAAATTGTGAACACTCCTGAGTTGGTGTGGATCTTCAGTCTCACGTACAAGTTAAGTATCTTGAACAAGTTCAACACCACCGTGAAAAACCAGTAGAACAACACCACAGCGTTAGGAATGGTCACCTTGAAGTTCTCAAGGTAGTGGATAGCGAGTACAACTATGGTGGATGCCAAATTCACATTCAACACCGTTCCTATCAAGTCATTTTTCGGATAGTTCAGTCTAATATTCAACTGAAAAATTATCTGTATGAGCACAAGACCGAGTTTCACATAGAAAAAGGGCGATACCCGATTGGCTGAAGTGATTTTCTTACGGTACAATACCGATACTTGGTGAAGGCCTGCCAAGAGGGAGCCTACACCTAGTATTCCCATCAATAATCCTTGTACCACACATGGCGATAAATCGTAGTACTGCGGGTCAAGAAGGTACCAGCCACCACGGTCAGCACACTGGTAGAACGAGTACAGTGCCAACTCTGGTGCCGGCGCGGATGCTTCTAGCGCCATGGTGGACTGATGCTCCTGTTGGCTCGAGTAGAGCAATGGGAGCGTATGGTAATCAAAATATTGCAAATACTCCATGGCAATAAGCGGCCGAACAAATTCGTCTATTCGTGTCTTTGGCAAGTAAGTGAATGTGATTCTGGTTCTAGCTGTGAGTTTGTGGGCTTAATGGGACACAAAAGCACGAATCAAAGATGTTAAAAACACAAAATACAGGCCGGTAGCAAGAAACTACTGTTGTTCAAGATGGATAGTAATCAGAGATTTTTGATGGCACATATTTAATGGCACCCGCGTTGGGGCGTACGCGCACCGGATTCCTATTAGTAATACGCATATCGGAAAAGAAAAGGTGAGGAACAAAATTCCGAATGGGTTAAGACATGATATCTGTATTGATTAAAAGTCTGCTAATGTTACTTGAATAATCGCTTCAACCGGCTCTTCTTTTCCTTCGTAGGCTCCAGTGTCGTGGAATTGGTGCTGAATGATGAAACCCGTTTTTGGTAGTGACTGGGGACAGTGTTGCTCGATGGCTGCGAATTCAAGTTGAAGCTATTAAAGTCAACGTTCATTTGATTCACCGATGAGCTGGAAGCGCTGTTTGCCGACCCCAAGTTACTCGACACCCGGCTGGAGTTCTGGGTCAGAATATTACCGGGAGCAGGTCGTGACTGAAGGTGGTGACGTTCACTACTTTCAAATAGGTACAATGGAGGCTCTTTTGTGGTGGTCAATTCGTTGTACAAGTTTAAGTTGAGGTCCGACATCTGCTTGACCTTGTCAATAGACTGGAGTCCAATTAAGAAGTCCCGAGGCTTAAGGATGCTTTCAGACCCTATGTAAAAGTCTTTGTTTAGCGTGTTGGACAACTCGTACATCGATCTGATTTCCGAGTACGTTATACCTCCCGCAACATAGCAAAAAATTCGTTGTTTGGACTTGGTGCTCAGCTGGCCGACCTTATTGGAGCTCTGGGCCCATGATGCTTTTATACGGGCATTTCTAAGGGAAGTGCTGGTAGCTTGCTGGCTGTTCATAATGGCAATTTCCGCCGGAATATCGTCTTGTAAAGGCTTATCTCTGAAGTAGGGGAACCAGTCCTCATCCAATTGGTACCTGATCAAAAACTGCATTATTGACTTGATACCAGGCCCGAACCGCGAAGTGTTGTACGTACCATCGTTATTGATGGTATGGAACATCTTCTTTTTGACCTTGGGATCAGACAACTTTTCTTTAACCACGGGGAACCCCAACTTGTGTAGGTTATAGAAGCACCGAGATACCAAAGAAATAATCTGAGTATCACGCACCCCGAGGAACTTGGCAATTTTAACGAAATCGGCCTCAATAAGGCCTCCTCTGTACAACCCATAAATCAACACCAACCTCATTTTATCATTTATGTGCAAATCGTCTCTGGCCAACAACACAATCAAATCGTCATGTAAATGCTTTACCTTTTCTCCTTCGAAACTTATCCCTTCAGCACAACAGGTTTGTTCAAAGTCGGCTGCAAACTCGGCTAACTTACGTTCACCGTTCAAATCAAGACACGCATCTATCAAAGACCGGTGCAAAGAGATTTGTTTTCTTTCATCGTCAAACCCTCTCAAGTTGGCTACAATGTGCATCAAATCACTGGAGTTCTTGGCCCTGCTCCGGTCAACCATCAACGGGTTGTTCTGGATTAACTCATTGATCTTGTTGACGATCAATTCACTGCTCTCGATGATATGCAAATGTCTCAAATTCACCCAATCCTCGTCAGTCTCGTTAGCAACTTTGCTGGATATTTCAGTGAACTCTCCTTTCTCGTTCTCCGACTGGTACTTGTACACCCCGTCTCTTTCGAGACTGGGAACAATGTCCATGGCCATGGCCTGGTACGTGAATTCATGCAACAAAGGAGCAAATAAGTCGATGGTTCTGTCAACCACCAACAAAATGGACCTTGGTTTCCCCTGGTTCTCCTCGGGTGGGAAGTCATGGTGGCTCCGAGCGTAATCGTCTATCTGTCGCTGGAACTCGTCTGCAATCAACTCACTCAACCGAGTGGCCTTATAAAAGTACTGGTTTTGTGGTGAGTAGAACCGAATAAGCGGGTACTCGCCCGTCACCACCATCAAGTTTACAAGGCTCTTGGCCACATTGCGCACCTGAGTCAACACCAACTCACTGCAATTCTCGTTGAAATAAATAGGCATAGAATTGGGGGTCTTGTCATCGGTCAAAAACACACGGGCCTCCATGGGAAACATCAGGGCCTCGGTGAAGTGAATGTTCTCACCAAAGTCAAAGTAGTTCTGAATCTTGGGATTCTTTAAGAATTTGGCAGAGTGGTAAAACTGGTACACTCTCGAATCCAGTTCCAATATCGGCAAGAACAACCCCCACCCCTTCTTATACCTGTGGTTAATGGCGTCAGCAATAACACAATTCAATGTGTAGAGCGACGGGTCGATGAAGTAGATGGCTTCGAGGAAAGTCTGCTGCTTTCTACGTTCATCTATCTTTTCAATCGATGTGACTACTCTCAACAACTGGTCCTTTTTCAATACCTGGTACAAAAGTGCCTCGGTCTTGTCATCGATCACAAGTGTATACAAGTTGCCAGGTAGCTGGATACTCTTGATCTGGTCCAACAAGTACCGTTTTTGTAGTTCAAACAACGATGACGGGTCTTTTACTTTGGACATTACTTAGTGCTGTAGAAGGAAACTTTAAAAAGCTGAAACACTTCCCAAGCGCGCGCGCGAAACAGGAAATTATCTGCTGGAGAAGTTGTTTTCACCAGATCGCCTCTTTTATCGAACTTATGAACATAACAAATGAAGGCCACTCTGGCAATGCCAGTGTACTACGTGCGCCTAGTGACGATGATAACGAGTCGGTGGGTTTTTTGGCCTCCAATTCCGGGCACAGACGCCTTCCGAAGCATCTCCACAACAAGAACACCTCACAAACAATCGTATACATACTAGGTTGGTATATTTTTTCCTTATCGATTTCCATATACAATAAGTGGATGTTTGGACCTGGATTGAACTTCCGCTTCCCCATAATTATCACGTCCTTCCATCAGTTTTGTTTGTTCCTTTTGAGTTGTTTGGTGCTATATGTCAATCCTCTGTTACGACCAAAGTTGCAATCGTCTGAAACCCTATCCCACTCGCCATTTTCGAGACTTTTCCTGATTCCGGCACTTTTGTACTTGAAGCAAATTGTACCGTGCTCTTTGGCATCGGCTGGGGATATTGGGATCTCGAATCTTTCTATTATGTTTGTGTCGCTCAGCTTGTACACGATGTTAAAGACACTGTCGTTGATGTTTGTGCTTTTATTTGGGCTTCTTTTCCGCCTTGAAAAGTTCCACTGGCGGCTCTTGGCCATTGTCTCGGTTATGACATGTTCTGTGGTATTAATGGTTAAACGGCCAAACAACGTAGGCCAAAATGATGAGGAAAATAGCCCTACAGGTATTATACTAGTGCTTTTGGCGTCAATAATGTCGGGATTACGGTGGTCGTTCACTCAGCTCTTACTCCGCAACAACCCACACACGCCCAATTCCATCGTGACTATCTTTTACTTGTCGCCGTCGATGTGCTTGGTGTTACTCGTCATTGGACTTGTGGTCGAAGGCTGGAGCAACTTTTTGGCATCCGAGATCTGGGAACTTAAAGGAGTTCTAACCACCATTGGCCTATTGGTGGTACCTGGAATTCTTGCCTTCATGATGACTCTATGTGAGTTCAAGCTCTTACAGGTGTCACAGGTCATCACCTTATCGGTGGCAGGGATTTTCAAGGAACTAATGACGATTTGCTTGAGCTCGATAATTTTTGGCGACCGTTTGAGCGTGGTGAACGTGGTGGGGCTTGTGATCACGTTCTTAGACATTCTCTGGTACAATTGGTTCCGGTACAGTCAGAACAAGTATGCTCCACTCAAAGAAATCGAGATGCGAAAGCTATAGATGAAAAATATAGACTATTTATTTGCATATAGTACAAAGATAAGGATGCCATGTCTACACCGCTAGAAGCACAGCCGGGAACACTACCAATACTATCAACTGCCAGAGCGAATGGTGGTTAGAACCAGACCCGTTCTTGCTATGACTATCCTCCAGCGCCGCCGTCGCCGACGACGAGTCCAGCGTCAGCTCCTGGGCGTTCTGTGTCACCACAACCTCGCCCGATGAAATCAAGACTCCCGATAATCGCGCGGGAATCGTTAACGATTCGGCCTGGCTGCCTCCAGCCTCGTAGCTCAAAGTCATGGAGTTTTCGCGCGATGCGGTGGTTGCAAAAGGAATGGTGCCGGGAGAAATCTCACTAATCAGCTCCACGGACTCTTTTGAAAAATTGAACCCATTGTCTGGCTCGTACGGGCTCAATGTGTTGTCGTCGTCCGGGAAGTAGTCTGAGTACTTCACCTGAACCCCTTTGTTGGCACGGGCCAAGCCGATGGTGCCTCCCTCATGGTCCACCGCCATAAACACCGACTTCATTGCCGAAAGTCCCAACGTCGCGTACGATCCCGTCATCGGGAGTACGCTGAGGAAACAAGCATCGGCCCCATTGGAGAACGTCAACTGTTTTTCGTAGATGACGGCATTGATCAAAATGTCGTCAATCGGCACTTGAATCAAAAGCTCGTGCATCTGGAAGTTGAGAGTGGCATGGGTCTCACGAATGGTATCACACTGAACGATCCATCGAGCCACCTCGTCGTTGTAGAAGGCATTAGTTTGGATCGCCAAGTTGACAATCACCAGGAGGGGGATCGAGTTGTAGATTGTTCTCAGGTCAAACACCGCTGCCAATACCGTCAGTTTTGACTGCAAGCTCTGCGACTCACCCCCCAGGCTCTCGATTAAGATATCCGTGAGCTCAAAGCTCGGAAGCACCATCAGCTGCACCCGACGGTTACCGTACGCCGCTAGGGCCAGGTCGTCGTCGAACCGTGTGCCCTCGATGTCCAACACGTTGAACTGGTACAAATCTCCCGTGTAGTATTTGGAGTTGACGGCTCCTGGGAAAACCATCGCGAAAGAAACATTCGAGTTGGCGAAGTTATTGAAATACAACGAGTAGCTCAGGTGTGAGATGACACCGCTGTCGACCAACCCGGCCATGATACCGGTATCGGTGTTGTTATTGTGTGCGAGGCCAAAGCCGCCTACATAGACGTTTGACGTGTCGGCATCGATGAACTGGAAGTCTTTAAGTTCTACCAACTGCTGGTTGGAGCTGGCCACACTGAAATTACCGGTAAGAACCTCACCCGTAGCGTTGATCAGGTCTATGTATGCCACCGCCACTTCCTCCGCTGGCTGGTACCCGCCGTAGTCGGGCTCTGCCACCGTGGCGTTGGTGCTCGTGGTGAACAACCCAGCATCTCCGCAGTATAAAGCAGTATACTCAGCAGCGGTGGTGAGACTAGCGGGGATCAGGGTCGAGGCCGAGGAGTCCTCGAACGCCGTTGAGTACGACGACCACCAGCTGTCAATTTCACCGCAATCCATCATCTCATTACCATTGAGCACCCAAGCATCGTTCTGTAGCACATCAAGTCGAAGATCCAATGACTGGTGGTTTATTGTCACCGGGATGTTGTAATAACTGGAGGTTTCGGTGAACAAAAACCGCAAAAGCGACGAGTCGTTGTCTTCCTCGGAAACCACCAGTCCTTCGGACACGGCACTCGAGGTTGTTGTTCTTGTCAGCAGGGTGGTGGTGGAGTCGGTGTTAAGCGAAAACCCGGACCCGAGGTTGGAGTTGGTGATGATGATTGTGATCGACAGAGACGACTTTTTGTCATCGTCGTCGTCGACGCGGGCCGCCACTACGGCGAGCCATACCGCCAAACCAAAGGCATGTAGAGCACTTACCATAACATTCCTAGCAAATTTTGCAGAGATGTTTCCGCGAACTTTGAAGGCCGAGGATTGTCGTGGCGCACGATCTGACACCCACTACAAACCACTCGGCAAATCTGGTTCTATTTTTATATACGGAAAGGCACGGCGGTGGGTATTATGCTAGTACCACAATACGCCAGCCGTTACCTGGTGCCTCTCGGGAGACCAAGCAGGCGGATTCTCCCCCACCGCATGAGGCGTTTTGAAGGGTGATGAGCTTCGCTCGTATCTGTGCTCCCACGACTCAAGAATCAAAATACATCCAATTACTATTCCAATTTTAGAAACAACCAAACAATGGAACAATGATAAATTATACAAAACAATCAGTAGCACCTCCACTATGATACGTGAGCAATGACACGGTTCCGTCCTTTGTACCTCCTGCTACCGCCATCTCTCTCGCCACCTCTACCACCACTCCGGAATTTCGGGTACTATAACTATAACTTTTACTTGTCTCACCCTCCCCTGCAACTGGCTCATTGCACTACGTAAGGGCCTCATTTCACTTACATTTACGGCACCAAATTCAATTTGTTTCTTTTAGTAAAAATTGCTTCTCGAGTCGTTGCCCCCTTTCTACCTTATCCACTCACTACATCTACTAACGCCCCCATCCGTTACCCCTTCCCACCTCCCGTTCCACCTCCTTTCTGTGGTGAAAATTTTTTGACACCCCATAAGCGAGCGAGCACTGGAGAGAAAAAAATATTTGTTATTGCTAGGAACATTTGAATTCCACCACATCTCCCAGGCAAAGCCTATACTCCCATACACACAGCTGCCGCTGCAACCTCCTCTTGCGAGACACATATTTGCATAGCACTTCTGGTACACCATGAGGAAATTGAAAGTCGGCATCCGAACCCAGTTGATTGTATTGGTGACCTTTGCTTGTCTTTTCTCCCTTTTGATTTTGGCAGTGGTCTGTGGAGTATACTTCTCCAACAACTTGTCAGACCTTCGGGCCGAGCGGTTGGAAGTCATCTCCCAGCTCAAAACTTCCCAGGTCACCCAGGCGTTGGACTACTTGCTCTATCAGATATATTGGCTCACCACCAGAGATGCCATCACCACTCCCCTTTCAAGCTACAAAGCTGGAAACAACTCCAACACGGTGTTTGACCAGGCACAAGACACTCTCGACCAGTTTGTCACCAGCAGTGAGTCATTTGCCGCTGCTCGCTTGTACAACTTGGACCTCACGGTGGTGGCAGAAAGCACCAACAACGCCAGCTCCGTGTCCCAGCCATCTATGGACTACTTATACCCGCTCCAGGCAAACCTCTCAGTGCCGTCACAAATCAACCTGTTGAGCAATCAGGTACAATCCTTTTTCATGACTGGACCCGTTTCCAACAACTCCGACGCTGATTCCACATACTTTGTTGGTCTCACCTATGCCGTGTATGCCAACACCTCCATCATCCTTTCTACCCCTGCTATAGCCGGGTACTTGTCTGTGATTGCCAATGCAAATAACATACAGCAAGCCGTCAACGACTCGGAATCTTCCAATGATTATACGGTGTTGGCCCTAGCGCCAGTGTTTGATTCGGATTCTAGCACAAACAATACGGTTGACGATATAATAGGCTTCCAGGCAGTGTTCCCAGTGGCTGGGTCCTCTTTAAACAGTGATACCGTGTATAACATCAACCTGTCGCTGGCTGCGAAAGCAGCCCTTTTACATGACTCAGGTGCTTCCACTAAACAAAAGAATATTGATGGCAAATCCGTGGCCATAGGTTACTCAACCTTGGACCTTGATTCGCCAAAGTACTGGTCCATCATTGTCGAGCAACGGATCTCGACCTTCGACGCTCCCGTCAGGAAGTTCACTAAAATCATCATTGGAGTTTCCATTGGAATTGGTGGGTTTGTATGTTTGATCACCTTCCCAATGACAGTGTTTTTCATCCGACCCATCACCAACTTGAAGTATGCCACCGAGGCCATCACTCGTTCCAAGCGAGAACGAGAAAGGGGTGTTGAGAAGCCAGAGTCTTCTGGCTCCACTGGGAATACAAATTCTCCTCCACCACCTTACTATTCAACTCTTATCCGACGTTTTAACAATAAGGATAAAGAAGAAGAACGTGAGCATCTCATAAAAGAAAAAGAAAAAGAAAAATCTGGACCTAATGGGCTGGCTAAAGGTTCATCTAATGGCTCCAACAACAAGAGAAATAGTGTGTTATCTGCGGGTACAGGTGGCTCAAATTCGGTTTACTCTACGGGTATCAGGTTACCATCACGAATTCCTGATTCGAAGAAGATCTTCAAAGATGAACTCTCGGAGTTGACTCAGGCTTTCAATATCATGAGAGAAGAGTTGGAAAAACAATACACACATTTAGAAGATAGAGTTAAGCTGAGAACCAAGGAACTCGAAGCATCTAAGATTGAAGCCGAAGCTGCCAACGAAGCCAAAACCGTTTTCATCGCCAATATTTCTCATGAATTGAGAACTCCTTTGAATGGTATCTTAGGTATGACTAGTATTGCCATGGACGAAGAAGATACTTCCAAGATAAAGGATTCCTTGAAGTTGATAAATAGGTCGGGTGAGTTGTTGTTACATATTTTGACCGAATTATTGACTTATTCCAAAAATACCTTGAACAGATCCAAATTGGAAAAGTCTTCCTTCCAAATCTTGGAAATCGCATACCAAGTCCAATCCATTTTCAGCAAGTTGGCCAGTGATCAAAGAGTCTTTTTCAAGATCTTAATGAAGCCTAGTTTGATGAGAAAGCTCATTTTATACGGTGACTCCAACAGAATCATTCAGGTGGTAATGAACTTGGTTTCGAACTCTTTGAAGTTTACCCCAGTAGATGGGAAAGTCAATGTCACCTTCAGATTGTTAGGTGAATACGACCAAGAGAGATCCAATCAGTCTGACTACAACCAGGTGTATGTTGTCGGACATGAAACCGCTGCCAATACTCTTTCCAAAAGCAATCCATACGATGGCAGACCACCTAAAATGCCTCCCACCACTAATGAAGCAGCTTTTGAACAATCATCTGCTAGCTCGGTTGATGCAGATGGTGATGATAATGATACCACCAGTATCGTGACATTATCTACCACTCAATATCAGGATGCGGTCTTCAAATCCCAGTTCAAAAGGGATATGAAACCACTTCCAACGGTTCCTGCTGACTCATCTGATACCGAATCAAACTTCGATACAGACAGGAAGTTGAGTAGTAGTGAAAGTGATGACACAGCCCCAACTCTACCATCTAAAGATAACGTGTTGGTTACTAGTAATGGTCATGCTACAGTATCTCCTAAATTATTACCCCCTCCAAATATGAGAGACAAATTCATATCGACTGCTTCCACATCCGGAACTGGTACTACTACCAAGAGACCAAGTATCAGCAGTATCAATTCGTCTTTGAACTCCAATGAGTTGGTCAAAAATGATAAAGTATATCGTATCAAAAACTTCTACAAGCCTAAGACATGGGTTTTACAAATTGAAGTCACTGATACTGGTCCAGGTATCGAACCAGCGTTGCAAGAAAAGGTGTTTGAGCCATTTATTCAAGGTGACCAAACCTTATCTAGAAGTTACGGTGGAACTGGTCTAGGTTTGTCTATTTGTAGGCAACTTGCCAAGATGATGAATGGTACAATGACTTTGAAATCGACCTTAGGGGTTGGATCTACCTTTATCTTCACGGTTCCTTTGCCTCAAGTAGGTGAAGTGTTGGTTCCAGAAGAAGACATGGCTGAATTCTGTGAAGATGAATTCAATCCTAAATCTAAAATGAACAGAAAGGTTGCGTTTACCTTCAACCATGAAGATATCATCAATGAAGTCAGTGAGGCTGAAGATACCGGATATAGTAATGAAGCCAACGCTTCATCTAGGTCTGAATTACACAGCACTGGCACTCCATTGTCCACATCTTCGCCTAAGGATAGTGTGGGGCCTCTTGATCTTTCCAAGATTAACCCTCCAAATATCACTATTGAGCTTCCAAGTCCTGGTCGTAAGTCAAGCGAAGAAAGTGCTTCTAAGAAACACTATTTCGAAAAACCACATTTGATTGCCAGATCATCTACCGGTACTGCCAATTCATCCAACGGCTCGGACAAGATGGACCTCCACAATAACTACTTGCTTCATGACTTGTTGCACTTGAAGATCTTGGTGGCCGAAGACAATTTGGTTAACCAAGAAGTCATCAGGAGAATGTTATCGTTAGAAGGATTCACCAATATCACCATGGCTTCTAACGGGGCTGAGGCAGTTGATAACGTGAAGGAATCTATCGAAAAGAATGATGTCTATGACTTGATCTTCATGGACGTTCAAATGCCAAAGATCGATGGGTTATTGGCCACAAAGATGATCAGAAGCAATTTGCATTATGATAAGCCAATTATTGCTTTGACGGCATTTGCTGATGAAAGCAATGCCAAGGAGTGTCTTAACAGTGGTATGTCTGGTTTCTTGGCCAAGCCCATTAGAAGAACGAATTTGAGGAAGATCATCACCGAGTTCTCACCCATTTTGTTAAGTGAAACGGTTACCACTCCACAAACACACCAGAGTGACGAAAGAAGATTGGGCTACGATTCATAGTCAAGCTCCAACTACAACTTTCAATCACACTGTCCCCAACAATAATTACGTACAATTTTTTTTGATAGATTATTCCCTGTACTATATTTAATAAAAGTTAATACTAGAACTTGTAAAATTGGTGGATTTAAGGATACCTAGTTTAATTCTAAGTGACGTTTGAAACTTTTGATGCTAGAGGTTAAATACCCAGCATCGAAAGGGTTCATGAATTGGATCATAGGTATCTTTGTACCACTTGTAAATGCTGCGAAATTGACAAAAACCACTAAATACACCAGTTTATAATAGCATACCAACATCACAAATTCAATCAGAGGCCCAACCTGACATGCGACGTGGTGAATAAACTCATCCTGTTAAGCGTATCCACTCATCGCTCCCCAAGCTCTTTAAAATCGCTACCATCCCCTGAGCCTAGCTCGGCTCGGTCCTCAAATGGAGCCGCACCAAAAACATCATCAAAGAGCCTCACTTATTTTTGTAATAATCCAGCCATCCAAATCCAAACCAAACTCGTTTTCTTCATTATGGACAAGGAAACTCAGCCAAGCAGACGGCCCCACGGGTTAGTATTCAGACACTATATGGCCGGGGCCATATTGACAGCGGTGTTAGTCTGGGGAAGTGGATTTCTTCTATTTGGGCTTTCCCACTTTAACCTCACCTACAATATTGCCAACAAGGACCTTTCAATTTTAATCAATTCGCCTCCGTTATTGAGCCACTACGCTTATCCTACTAATCACTCTGGTCTTATCAATGGGAAGATCCCCTTAAACTTCTTCATCGCTGGAGAAGGCACTTTCTCTCCTGAATACTTCGAAGTACAGTGGATAAGAGAACCAGATTCACTCAAAAACGACAAAGGAACATATGTGGTAAGAGAGCACATTCCCTCTGGAACAGACGATGAGTATGATACTCAGTATGTGGTGAAGTCTATAGTGGACCCCGATTATGAGTATGTGCTTTTCAACGGGTCTGCGTTCAAGTTCGCTGGCCTCGAATATAACATAGACAAATTATTAGCTTCTCCGGATTTACAATTGGCAGTTTTGAGGACAAACTCCACCCACAACTATAGACATTCGACTTTTGCCATTTACTGGATTTTAGATATCCACAAGAACACCATCGTGCCGCTTTTCAATCCGGACGATAAGATTTCTGTCACCGCATGGTCTCCAGATTCAGAGAAAATCGCCTATGTGTACGATAACAACATCTACATCAAGTTCATCACAGGATCTACTGAACAGATTACTTTTGACGGAACAGCCGAGGTTTTCAACGGCAGACCAGACTGGGTATATGAAGAAGAAGTGTACGCTAGTGATATCACTATGTGGTGGTCACCCAACGGAGATAAGTTGGGCTACTTACGGATGGATAATAGCGATACGCCAACGTTTCCTATTCCTTACTACGTGCAAGAAGGGTATGAAGACTATCCGAAGATGGTGGAATTGAAGTATCCTAAACCAGGATACCCTAATCCCAAAGTGGATGTGGGAATCTACGACTTGAACACCAATGATGCCAGGCTTTTGAAGCTTGACACCCCCAATATTAAAGACAAGCTTGTTACTCAGGTTACGTGGGTTTCGGCCCAAGACGTATTAGTGAGAATCAGCACCAGGTCAAGTGACTTGTTGGAGTTTTACTTGATCAATGCAGATACCTACAAGTATGACCTTGTCAGAACACACAGTGCCACCCATGGATGGTTTGAGGTAACTTTCGACACCTTCTATGTTCCTAAGAACGAGGCCCTCGAGTTGACTGAAGATGGATATATCGATACGGTGGTGGTTGATGGATACAACCATCTTGCGTATTTCTCCCCACCTTCCAATTCTGAAGGGATGCTTTTGACTCAAGGTCAATGGGAAATTCAGGATGGACTGATCTCGTTTGACTACAGTGACGGTAATGTGTATTTCATCTCCACCATGAAGTCTCCTGTAGAAAGACATGTCCATTCCGTCAACTTATTAGAGGCCATTAAGTCGCCCGATTTACCTATAATCAAAAACATCACCGACACTTCTAAAGAAGGGTTCTTTAGCGGTTCTTTCCTGTCAGGATCAAGGTACTTGGTGTTGACCTACAGAGGTCCCTCAGTCCCTTACCAGCAGTTGGTGGACTTGAAGACAAACGAGGTGGTGCGGACACTTGAGTCCAACACCAAACTTGCGGAGGCCTTGGAAAAATATGCTATCCCAGAAGTCAAACATGCGGTGGTGTCGCTTGGGCCGGATGAGAGTGGGGATGAGATCTTTGTGGATACACTCGAGACATTCCCATTGAACTTCAATCCCAAGATGAAATACCCAGTGCTCTTTTATGTTTATGGAGGCCCAGGTTCACAGACCGTCACCAAGGCATTCAGCGTGGGGTTCAGCTCCATTGCGGCCGCCGAATTGAATGCGGTCGTAGTGACAGTAGACGGTAGAGGTACTGGTTTCAACACACACAATAAGAACGGTGCTGATTTTAAGTTCATTGTAAGAGACTTATTGGGCCATTATGAGCCTATTGACCAGATAAAGGCTGCGAAAAAATGGAGCGAAAAGCCATATGTGGATAGTGACCGAATTGCCATCTGGGGCTGGTCCTACGGTGGGTTCATGACGTTGAAGACGTTGGAAACTGATACGGAACATGTGTTTAAATATGGTTGCTCAGTTGCACCCGTCACTGACTGGAAGCTCTACGACTCGGTATACACCGAGCGATACATGAGAACACCCCAAGAAAACCCTGAGGGGTATGTGGTGGGGTCTATCAACAATGTGACAAACTTCCACAACGTGACTCGGTTTTTGATGATGCATGGATCTGGAGACGATAACGTTCACTTTCAGCACTCGTTGAAATTATTAGACAAGCTCAACTTGGAGTCTGTGGAGAACTTTGACTTCATGGTATTCCCAGACTCGGATCATAGTATCAGCTACCACAATGGCAACCATGTAATCTACCACCGGCTTTTGAAGTGGTTGAAAAAGGCTTTTAACAACCAGTATGTGGGGGCGGGCCATTAATTGCAGCCAAAACCAATTGGGTGATGCACGCCCAATTCGCTGGCTGCTCGACAAAAAAATTTTCATTAATTTACTTCTATCTCATCCTAAAACACATAACATGATTATTTACACTGATTTCATTTCTGGAGACGAATTATTGTCCGACGCCTACGACGTCACGTTGGTCGACGGAGTCATCTACGAAGCCGATTGTGACATGGTCAAAGTCGGTGGTGGTGATGTCGACATCGGTGCCAACCCATCTGCTGAAGATGGTGGTGATGACCTTGAAGAAGGTGTTGAAACTGTCAACAACGTTGTCTACTCCTTCAGATTACAAAACACCGGGTTTGACAAGAAGTCTTTCTTGACCTACATCAAAGGTTACATGAAGAAGGTCAAGGCTCACTTGGCTGAAGTTAACCCAGATGCCATTGAAACCTTTGAAAAGGGTGCTACCACCTACGTCAAGAAGGTTGTCAGTTCTTTCAATGACTGGGAATTCTACACCGGTGAATCCATGGACCCAGATGCCATGATTGTGTTGTTGAACTACCGTGAAGATGGTACCACCCCTTACGTGGCCATCTGGAAACATGGTGTTAAGGAAGAAAAGATCTAAGCTATTTATACTTCTATATAATTTTCTTTTGAACTAATAAACTGAGGTTTTGATTAGTTACGTTTGACACAGAGACACACGTTCTCTAGGGTGATGTTCTGGTCAACGTACCAGAAAATTTCACTAGTGTAGTTGGAGGGGAGCATTTTGCGAAGAGCATAGACCCTGCTCTCATCGATGAGCCTTCTCGCCATAACACCCAATTTTGTTTTCTCTGCGGAAGAGAGGCTTGATTGCAGGGCAATGCCTGTGCTGGAGTCTGGAATAGAGCTAACGGCCCACGAAACGACTTTTTGTAGAACTTTAAAAGAGGGTTTGTTGAACCCTTTAGCAGCCAAATACTCTTTGGAAAAGGGAAGAAGAAGGTCGTAGTCACAGATGTGCCTACAGCACATGGCTATCATCAACCCGTTAAGTGATTGTGTTTCAATCACCAGCGAGTTGAAGAGCAGCCGTAGCGTCATGTCAGTGGCTACTCCACACAAGTGTTTCGATATGCCCACCACGTTTTCACATTTGCAACCATCGAGAAAATTATCGAGATCCAAGTCCTTGATATCTATACGTGTCCGTTTGACTTGTGGATGCAACGGGTGCAAGGAACTCTGGTTCTGTGCATTGAAAATGGTGGTTTCCTTGGTGATTTTGGGATCATTCTTCATTCTGTTCACACTTCTATCGATGAGCCCAAACCCATACGAGTTTGTGCTGGTGGAATTTGTAGACTTGTGTTCTTCGAGAATACATAAGTTGAGGAACCGAGACAATTCTGCCTTGCCACATCCGAACTCAATGTAGAAATTATCTGGCCCCAAAAGTCCCTTGGTCTTGAGGTTCCCTGCTAGACTGGACTGTTGAATAGGATGCTTCTGATGCTCCTTCTCCGAGAGCCTCTTGGAGAGACCCTCATGGGATGATGATATGAGACGTAGTGGTGTGAACTGCTCTCCAGCTTCCCGAATTAGCGGTAGGTACTCGTCCAAAAGCTGTTCTTCAGTGTCACCTAGTTGGGTCTGTGAAGGAGATGTTTGTGCACAAAGCTCATTAGAGAGTTTGTGGTTGATATTGAGGGAATACCATGGGTCATGTAAGTCCTTTCCAAGAGATGGGCACTTCTTGAGATGCCGCGAAAGGTCCTGTTTCCAAACAGTGTGTTTGGGGTCCAACGGACAAGGCACTCGCTCCGATTGACCTTCTATCATATGATGGGAACAGTACTTATTGTCCTGCTTCCGTTGCATTCCACACGTCCGGGTACGGTTGGGAATTAAGTACTCGCACCGATATACCACAGGTACTGCCGGGGTGTCTTCTGTTTTTCTCTTCTTACTGGTAGGCTCTGCCATCTGTAGATTTATGAGGTTTTCGCGATGCTCATCGAATCTTCAAATCACATCCTCATGACGAAGGGAAAGTCTGACAACACGCTATGGAAGATAGATCTCTTGGAAAACAAGTTCCTTGGGAGCAAACCCCGGTATAAGCTGACTCTGAAGCTTTTGGCGGCCAAGGACAACAAAAAGCTCATGAAGAAAATGCCTTCTACTAAGGCCGATGCTCAGGCTCAAATTCTTGACATGAAAACAGGTGTTTTCGGACGAAAGTACCACGGGGCACTTGTCAAGTTACGCTCGGAGGTAAAGAAGACTGTCAAGGCTGACTTGCATAAGTTGGGAAAAAAGGCCGATGAGAACAAACAGGTATTAGAGTTTTTACAAAATGACAACTTGATCGAAGATATGGTTGTTTCGAAAGTCATTCGGATTCTTCAAGCAGCCGTTTTGAACAACAAAACGGCTCGAGAGAATCCACCAAAGTTTATTGATCCACAGGTTTTGCAAGTTATTGGAGATAAACAACATCTGTCCAATCCCACTAAATTTTTCAAGGATCACTGTCAGAATAATAAGGAATTACACAAGTACGTCTCGAGCCTTTGGAACTTGAAGGGGATGAAACTTGTATTGGCTGAAATCGAGTGGTCGTTTAGGCTAGTGAGAGGTAACTTGACGGAACAGGAAATCAACAATAGGAGGACTGCCACCGGAAAGAGCATAAAGAAAGATAACGATGAAAACAGCGACAGTGAAGATGACGGAAGTGACGATGATAGCGGTCTGGATACCGAAGATGAAAACGATGAATCAGCTCCCGCTGATTTCGAGAAGTTTGCGGTGTATGACAATTTGGTTGTAGATTCAGATCAAGAAGATGAGGGTCCACAGCTTGATCCCAAGATCAATTACAATGAAGTAACAGACGAAGAACCTTCTGAGGAGTCTTCTGGCGATGATACATCTGGTAGTGATGTTGAAGATGTTGTGGACAACAAGAAGACCAAATCCACTAAAAAGCCTAAAGATGATTTCTTTGCATCGGATTCGGAGTCCGATTCAGAAGATGCACAATCAGTCGAGAAAAAGTACAATCTTCCAGAATTAACGACCGGGTATATATCTGGAGGCAGCGATGATGAAGGTGATTTTCAAGTTGATGATGATAGAGTCGTCAAGCAAGTCACTTCCCAACGTAAAAACAGAAGAGGTCAAAGAGCCAGACAAAAAATATGGGAACAAAAGTACGGCAAAACCGCCAAACACAAACAAAAGGAGCTGGAGGCTTACGAGAACGATAAGAAACGTCGACAATCAGAATTCGAAGAAAGAGAACAAAAAAGACGTTCCAGAGCCCAAGAAGCCTTAGAAAATGCTCCTTCAGGCTCGAATCTTACACCAATAGGACGCAAACAACAAGACAAGCCAAAGAAGGAAGAACATCCATCCTGGATAGCCAAGAAGAAGGAAGAAGAGAAGTTGAAGAACTTAAAGTTCACCGGGAAAAAGATAACGTTCGATTGAATATCTATAAACGGGAATAATCAATCTTGAAAGACTTCTGGATATCACTTTGGCTCATCTTTTGACATGAAAGCGGAGAACTCACTTGGATATGGTACTCACATTTTTCTGGCTCTGCAATAGACAATACTTGTTGGTCATCACCACAGATAAACTCAATCACTGCCAGTCTTAGAGGTCCGTTCCAGCACCGATGGCCATTGATGTAGTATAGTTTCCCATCTTTATAATGTGAATAGACTCCTAACAAGTTACCATCCTGGTATACCTGGTTAAGTAAGCCAACCTTATATTCGTAGCCTCCTATGTTGGTATTAACCCATTTTCCCACCAAAGCTCGAAGAATGTCATCAGGGCCATAGTCAGCTGCCAAATCAGCTTCGAGGGTTTCGATGTTTTTGTTCAATGTGCTGATTCCCTTTCTAGTGGAGTCTATCTCCACGTCCAAACCTTCGGGGGTCTTGATGTGCTTGAGAACCAATTGGTCGACGGCCTCCGCATCAAACAAGCGGAATATCTTTGTGATGTAGTAGTGAATCATGTTGCCAAATGTGGGCACTGTGTGGTCGAAAGTTTCAGGGGAACTGTAATGGGATTCTCCAACCATCACCGTCTTGGCATACTCGTTGAGCTGCTCGAGATCGGAAGAGATACCACTCACGTCATCAGAATCTTCCTTATTAGCAAGGTAGTCTTGAAACTTGTTAACAGCCTCTTTGACAGCTGCATCATTGAAATTGGGGTTGTAGTTGGTGAGTAAGTTATGCAAAATGGCCTCCAACTTCTTAGCTCTTTGGGAAGTGGAAGCGTGAGTCGCTTCTAAATCAGCAGCCTTCTCTGCAACCTTATTGGTGTACAGTGATATTTCGTCGTAGACCAGGAGCTCTTGCGTTCCCACAAAGCCATGGGCCTGTGCTTCTTCAAGTTGTGTAAGTTTGTCCACGAGGTTGACGTTTTCCTGCCTAAACGACTCGAGCTTTGCCTCGACTCTGTCCTTAAGTGCTATAGCATCTTGCTTTAGTTTGGTATTGGTTGAAGCCGCTAGACGGACTTTCTCCTCCATAAGCGCTTCATACATCACGTACTGGTCATGAATCTCTTTGCATTTGTTGGGACAATTCCCTGTTATGTACTCGTCAGAACCGTCGCAACATCGGTCGTAGTCACAAGTACCATCATTTAATTTGAAGTTTTCAATGTACCCAGGAATGTGACCATCGTTGGCACAATAGAACATGTTGGACTGGTTGAATTTGCATGCATTGGTGCCAATTTCATCTGACCCATCGGGGCAATCACAGTAATCGTCGTTTATCTGACTGTAGTCAATGACAATAGAAGGATCTCCCAAGCACCGCCATTTCTTGTCGGCATCATTCGATCCTGTAATGGGTTCATATAAGTGTTGTTTCTCGGGGGATACACCCATGATGTGTCCCTCGACTACACACACAGCGTATATCCCTAGTATAATTGAAGACTTCATTGTTGAAAAGAATCTGTCTTCAAATCTGTCTCTTTAGCGCGCACCAGCCTTTCGCGGTGCTACTGCGATTTGTGCAAAACCAAACCATCGCGATCCAAACCTATGGACCTATGAGTACAAACACAAACCCATGGTCCGTCAGCCGGTGCAAGCGAGTGGTGCGACCGCTAGTGGCGCGAATCCACTCATTGACTGATACAGTCGTCAAAAATCCGCTGTTGCTTCACATTTCATCGACCCCAACTTCAAATACTGGCATAAACATATTAGCAGGAATGGTGAAACCTGCTACTGCTGCTGCCAGACTTCAGGCACTACAGCCATTCGTGTCTCCTGAACTTTACAGCTACCTTCTCGACATTTTCCACATCTTCAAAAGTATCGTCACGTCGCTAGAAACAGGTAGTAATCCAGCCCCATTTATCGACCCTCTTGGTTCTAAATGCTCGTACGAAATCGGGAAGGCCATGGTGTTGTCGACGCGAGCGTCGTACTACAAGTTGAATAATAGTATTCTTTTCGACCCCAAAAGTCTCCCGGAGTCTACGAGAAAATACCACCATTCTTTGTCGAGCGATATCGACCCATGGCTTCAGTTGCAGCCACTGTCAATTTTCGAACCACTTCGATTAGACATACTTCGGGGCTATCTATTGCACGTGATTGTGTTCAACCTGCCCCGGTTACTTTATTTGCTCGTTCCCACGCTTATCCACTGGCTTTACGAAGAGCTGATTGTCATGGGCAGCTCGCGCTTGAAGTCGATGCTGAACAAGTTGTTCTACGAGTTTTGGCACTTTGATAGTGCCAATTACTACGACAATATTGGCGATAAAGCGGTCAAGCAGCTCAGCAGAATCGACGGAGACTCCAACGACTTGTTTTGGTGGTTGAATCTGATCGGATACTGGGACAATATGATCTCAAGCATTGGGATGACTTCCAGTCAAATTGGGCACAACCAGTACGAGGTATTGATATTGGATACGTTGATCCTCAATAACAAACTCATGGATGGGGGTGATGATAGCGAAGTGTATGCACTTTTAAGGAGAAATAGCACACATTTGCAAGTGAATAACATTCTCATCACAATGCTCACTCGCTTGATAAAACAGTCGAGCTATAATCCGAACCAATTGAACGAAACCTACTATGGGTTTCTACGGTTAATCCAGCTGTGGCTCGCATTTGGAAGCGAGACTCCCGGATTATTCAACTCACTTCAAACTGGTAATGACGCCATGTTTAAAGGTGTGATCTCCTTCTCTCGGTACTTGCACAAACTGCTCAGCAAATCAGACGATCTTACAAAACTTTTAATACTTTTGTTCCATTACTATACGAACCGTCAACCTGGTATTCAGCTCATAGGCCTCGATGCCCACCATCGTGTGCTTTTGAAGACATTACGGATGATCCAGATGGAGGAGTTAAAGAAGTTTATCCCTCTAAAGTATAGTAACTATGAGATAAGCAGCTTCATATACTGGCTTTTGGACAATAAACTCGGCAAATTTGCATCTGCAGTGTTTTACGACTACTATGGCCAATTCTCCAAATACTATGACGACGATTTACGACATATTCATCGCTTGATTAAAAAAGCCTAAATTCATTTCACTATATACACTTTAAGCTCATTTCACTAATATACACTGACCATTGATGGACTCGTCTACTATAGCTTTATACGTTGCTTCCACCACTCGATCAATTGAAACCAGTGCAATATCGAGATTTGTTCTGGCTCCCATGTCGGTGTCGCTGACAAGTCCAGGTACAATAGAATTGACTCTAATGCGCCCTTTGAGCTCATTGCTGAGGGATACGGTAAACCCATTCAAACCTGCTTTCAGGGCACTATAAACGGACGTCCCTGGTATTGTGAAGTCCAGAAGAGCTAACACAGAGCTGATGTTGATTATCACCGCATCATTTTTATGTTTCAACATGGGTTTACATGCGGTTTTGGATAGTATAATGGGTGCAATAAGGTTCACTTGTACAGTGTTTGCAATTTCTTGTGCCAGCATTCGGGGAAGTAAAGAGTGGTTGGTAACACCAGCACAATTAACAAGCACCGATACCTCATCGAAAAGATGGGGTTTGGAGGTTATATCGTTGATATTAAGAAGGTCAATTGGTTCAATTGTATGCAATTGGTTTTGGGTGGTGGGTAGCGTTCGCAAGGTTTCTTGAAGAAGTGTCTTATTCCGTGCTACTAGTGTTATCGAAGCACCTTCTTGGGCTAAACGTACCGCAATTTCCCGCCCAATGCCTCTGGAAGCACCTGTTACTAGGGCCTTTCTTCCTAGCATGAATATATATTTTGCGACTGAAGAGTCGCGCATGCCAATAAAGGTGCAAAATCGACTTGGGTGGGATGATGATCTTTTCTACGTAGACCACTTCGTGCAGTTCAAGAAGTGGATTGTAAGATCTTTGAAGCAAGGTCACTATGTGTGGATTCCATTTACTAGTCTTTGAAAGGAGGATACTCAATGGTTTAATAACAGATGGAAATACGGGCTGAGGAATGCAGTAGATAGTAGATAATCTGATTTAAAAGAAAAAGATGTGCAGCTTTACCATCTGATTAATTATTCCTTACACGGATCGTCTAATTAATGATTTTAGTGCTCCTTAGAAGTGAATGCAGCAGCTTGAAGCATAATTGTTGATACTTTGAAAAACCTTCATTTATACAGAAGAGCTTTAAGTTCTTTCTTTTACTAAAATCTTAATAGCACAGTTAGTAAGCTAGAGATTTAGTCAAAATATGCATAGAAGTACTTATCACTGGCGAGAAGCTCAATTCAACCCTGAATAAGCTTGTTTGGCAAATACATCTTGAAGTGTTGTAAAGAGACTTAGGTGAAAGACTTATGAGAATCTACCTTTCTACCAATGTTATGTTCCTTCTATTCATAGGCATAGGTATCAAGACACTGAGGGTATTTTAAACTCTACTGAGTATACAGTTTGAAAGTATGTGGTTCAACTTTCGGAAAATGATGTTTTTGGGAGGGTCAGAGCAAAAACTGTTTATTCAAACGTTTGCTGAAGCTTTGAAAAGTGTCTTTCGATTATTCGCCACTCAGTCTGGTATTCCTGAGTAACCTATTTCCCTTGTGGTAATGACAAACTGAATATTGGATATGCATACTGATGGACACCACTTCATTAAGGAAAAGAGAGAAACAGGGAAAATAAAGGGTCTTGGCTGCGAAAATGTCCACACTTAGTATCATTACAGATGCTTGTGCTGTGTTTAACGGGTGAAGTAGTTTTCAACAAAGGAACAGCTCGATAAAGGCTTCATTTCGATGATATCAAATGCATTACACTAAGTGATCACGCAGCGATAATATTTTACCATATTCGAAGAATATCTCCATTCTTTGGGAAAAAGAAGGAGTGGGGTTTGAAAACAATGAAGGAGGCTAAGAATAGCTGATCTTAAAGCTGGAGTTAGGAACCCTCTTTTTGACAAAATGATATTCACTATTCACTTTAAATTTGGAAATTTTATCACAATATTTAAAATGTGCCAATCTAGCAAAAGCTACATTGGCGTCTCTATTCAACCAAATTTCATATTGTGATAAATCCGAACATTTCCTTGGGTAACACAAACAGCTCTTCTAACTCAAAGATAGTGCATGGTGACGTGGTGTTTACTCTTGCAATTTAAAGTTCAAGCACTATCAAATTTAATTTGATAAATCAGATATTGTTCACGGAAGCGCCTCAAGTTCAGCTTAACTGCACCCTGTACTGCATAATATATGTATAGTTATATATGGTTACATATGCAAGACATGAACGTTTGATTCTAATTTTGATTTTTTTCAATTTTAATTTTTTTTAATTTTAATTAAAAAATTTAAAGTATATGTACATTAACTATATACACCTCCCAGGCGTACATATACTTACATATACTTACATATACTTACATGCACCGGTGCTTAGATCACTGCATCAACAATACAACTATATAGTTATTAAAAATTCAATGGCTCTTACAATAGATGTAAAATACGAAGCCACGGCGGCAAAGTAAAATTTCCCTTTTGAACAAATCAGCAATACCCAGGAGTCGAGAACTTTTAGAAATAGCGTCACGACTTACGCTTGCTAGCCACGATCAATTCTTAGAATCGGGCTTTCATTGGTCATCATTGTTGGGTAAAAGAGGCAGGAACTCACGTAGCATATTTAGGCTATTCTTTCCTTCAGCCAGAACTACAGCTTTTAGAGGTTGTAATAGGTGACAGCATCATGAACAACTTTGTTGCTCAGTGATAACAGATCCGGTAAATCACACCGTGCGGTGGACCCTGGGTAGGTGAAATTCATTTTGAGGATCGCCAACACAAGGATTTTCTGGCGACCTCTGATTGAAATTTGGGTCGACAGCCTGTCCAGAGGCGGGATCGGCTCTTGTTAGCCAAAATTACAGGTGAGGTGGCACTTTGAAGTGATAGGAGTTATGAACAGCTGGCCGCAAAAAAAAGGGTTCAAATAGGAAATAAATAAGGCGGGCGGTTATGATAGAGATCAGCTGGCGGCAAACCTTTCAGATCAAGAAAATATGCGTCCTATCCTATATGACAGACAATCACCATGATTGTGATCTCATTCTGAGCTCCTTGTAGTTGTTCATGGCCCCTATATTGTAAAAAAACTTCAAGACCTGGTGTGCCACTATGCATTTTTTTTTTTTGTTCGGCAAAACTTGAATACTATCAGACACTGCTTTGCCGCAAGAGTATAGTGGCCACGAATTACCTAGTCCCTCGATCGTTCCCGTCGCAATCGACTATTTTATGTTTGCCGGCGCTTAAAGAATAGGCTTGCAATACCTCATATTTTATAAGATGAGAGTAATTCAGTGAAACAGAAATGGAACAGGAAGCAAATGAAGGTGGCCTAAGAGCATTTCTTGTGGGACCACTTCACCGTTGAAGCTGCTAAATTGCTATGGAATCGCTACGAATCTCTGTGGTGATTGGCTATCAATTGTAACTGTTAATTCTAGTAAGCAGCCTGCTCCATGAAACAAATGGAATATTTTAACTCAGACTTCACCTTGGTATATGTCCTTAAGTCCATCTACAACAGGCATAGTGCTAGTATCCAGACGTTTAAACAAGATTTTAATACAAAACTCCATCACAGATCCAATAATTGAAATCTGCGGTTTTCATAAAATTGGATTGATATTAAAAAGTTTCAACATGTAATAAGCTCTTTCTTATTTTCAATGACTTTCCTTATAGGTTCCCAACTGTTAAATAATGTATTTTCCACTGAGGCGTGCAGAATCAAAACCGACACATGTCTCTCGTGTGACAGCCTTCATTTTTAACATTGAAGTTACAACTCCACAAGTTAATATACCACAAGAGAGCCATATATTTCGTGGATGGTAAAAAGAAGTATCCCATTTATTTCGGGGTGAAAAGAGGTGTTCCATTTTCTGTAAAATAGCGACTCCGTGGCCAAGCTGGTTAAGGCGTAAGACTGTTAATCTTGAGATCGTGAGTTCGATCCTCACCGGGGTCGTCTTTTTTTTTAAACATCTGATCTGTTAGTCCCAATGACAAATCCTTAAACACTAAGGATTCCGTCGGTGTCTCTGACTGCCTCGTGTTTCATTCATATATTAATGCTACTACTCTGACTGGAGCAACGCAGATAATGCCATCAACCCGAAAACTCCAAACCTAAAATATTGATTCTCCGTCAACAAAATCGTCACGTATCCCACCTTCGGAAGGTAGCCCTTAACTGTGCCCACCAAATCACTTTGTGTCAAGTAACTCTTTTTCCTGCCATACAAACTCAAGTCATCCACCGCGTTGTTGTCACCCTTGGTCAACAAATACTGCTTATCCTGATTATGATGTTCCCGCACCACTCTGTGCACGATGGGAATATCCTTGGTGGAGGTCTCGTACACCACCACGTCGCCGACTGAATTGGACTTCTGCCTGTTCCACAAAAATAACACATCACCTCTTTGGAACGCAGGTTCCATGGATCCAGTCAACACCACCACTATGGGCGAATGCGTATTTGCAACGACTCCCAACGTCTTCCACGTCATATAGGCACCGGAAAACACGTATGCCAACGCTAAGAACTGGGCCACTTGTGTTCTTAAATTCATGGTGCTAGTTAACAGTTGGTAAAAGGTTGAGTGCTGTTAATTAATCGACCGGTGAATTTCGCGCCAGTCGTGTACCTCTCCAGCTTTGTCACTGCAACTGATAAAAATTTTCTGGTCAGTTGTGTGATTTGTAACTACGCAAAGGGATTAGTACGAAGGCAATGGAACCAATACCAAACCAAGATGACAAGTTGTCTCACCTGCCCTCCACCACCTTCACCGAGCCCGTGTCGGATGCCGCTCCCGTTCGCGCACCCACGGTTCTAGAGCAACCTCGCCCCCAGAAAAGTATACAATACCACCCAGGAATGCCTCTTAAACCATCTCAGTCGGTATCCTTCTCCAGTAACGACCAGGAAAAGGTCCGCCGGTTCACGATCTCGGCCCAGCCGTCCGCCGTCAACATCACTCCCCAGGACCTCAGAAAAAACTCGTTTGGTGCTACCAATTCCATCTTGAACCAATTGCACGATAAACAGGATAAGGACCGGATCCCATCACGGCAGAACTCCGCCGGTGGCGGGGACTTGTTGCTGTTCATGAGCAAAACCCATGGTGGCGTACCCACGCATCCGGTGGTGACCACGGCCTCCACCGCCTCGGCTCCGTCCAAATCCACCAGCAACAGCAGCCTGAGAGTGGCATCGCCCACCTCCAACGACCAGATATTTCTGTTCAAGTTCCACGACACCATTACGCCCTCACCGCCCCCCACACTGTCCCGCAGCGTCGACCTGGTGATGAAGTCCCCCCATAGCAGCAGTGGTGGATACTCCCAGCCCACACAGCCCATCAATGTCAGCAGAAAAGGTAGTACTCGCAAGCCCCAGAAGACCATTGTCGAGAGTCCCGTGGGGCCACCGGTGCCGTTTCAGCAGTATTTGAGCAAAGAGGACGACGGCAAGTTCCATATTTTGTTGGCAGCAACAGGGTCGGTGGCTACCATTAAAGTGCCTTTGATCATCGACAAGTTGTTTCAGATCTACGGGGTCAATAAGATCAGTATTCAGTTGGTGATCACCAAGAGTGCCTCGCATTTCTTGAAGGGGTTGAAGATCAATAACCAGGTGAAGATTTGGAGAGACGAAGATGAATGGGCCAATTTCAACGAGTCTTTGGACTATTTCAACTCGGGAAAAAAGTCCAAGAACCCGTACGATAAGTTGATTCTCCACAACGAGTTACGTAAATGGGCCGATATCATGTTAATTGCTCCGTTGTCTGCCAATACGCTTGCCAAAATCACCAACGGTCTCTCTGATAATTTGTTGACCTCGATTATAAGGTCGTGGAACTGGCCGGTGATGTCGAAGACCGGGTCCGCCGCTCATCCACAAGCGACCGGGGTGAAGAAGCCGATTTTGGTAGCTCCAGCCATGAATACCTTCATGTACACACATCCTCTTACTGCTAAGCAGTTGAACTTGTTGGCATCCAACGAGTACGGGTTTGGAGTCGAGATTCTCAAGCCGGTAGAGAAGATTTTGATTTGTGGGGATATTGGGATGGGAGGAATGAGGGAATGGAGTGATGTGGTGGACATTTTGAGACGGAGAATCAACCTTCTTAAAAGTGTCGATAGAGATGTTGCTCTTAAGGAAGCAGAAGAGGATGAAGAGGAGGATGACGATGATGAAGAAGAGGAGGATGACGATGATGAAGAAGAAGATGAAGATGAAGATGAAGATGAAGATGAAGATGAAGATGAAGATGAAGAAGATGATGATGACGATGACGATGTTGATCCGGAGGAGCAGGATCCCAAACTGGCATCACCCAGTACAAACGACGACGGCAACGACGGTAACGACGAAATGATCTTTGAAATTAAAAACTGATCTGTTCATAGATAAATGCATTATTTATTCATTCTATATCATTAACCAATGGTTCCAATTCCCAGAGGGTCCTATCTATGTCAAATGTAGGGCGTGAGACCCCCTCGTGAAAATCGGCAAAAGAACTGTTTAAACTGTAGTTCTCGTTGGTGAATAAGTCGTGAAGATTCGTAAGCTGGTCGTAATTGAGAAGGTGCACGAGCTCATCGAGATCCTTCTCTTTTTGAAGATAGTGGTGCAAGCACACACTATTCGAATAGTTGTACATAAAGTTGAAGTTGTACAAGAACAGGTCGAACAAGTCGTCCAATTTCTTGATCTTAATTGGCTCCCGTGAGTTGTAAAAGGCCAATAGCTTGCGCGAGTCGGTGGGAAGTGATAACGAAGAATCAAGCTGCAAAATCCCCTTGTTCACGAGATGGATGAAAAATCTCAACCGGAGCTTCTTGGAATTGGCCGAGTTAATGTGCACCTTGTCCAAGAACCGGTTGATAGTGAAACTGGTCATTTTATTGGAGTTCATCGGTAACAATAAGGACTCCAAGGGCTGTTTGGACTCCAACGTCGTACGGAGCATCTGGGCATAGAAAAGATTTTCAAAGTGGTAGTTGCCGAGAATGTTGGGCAACGTCACCTTGTTGTTGTTGGACTTTGTGCGCTGAGTTTCGATCAACACCACATTCAAGTGGTGTTGGTTGGGAGTAAAGAGCTCTTGAAACACCCTATAATTCAAATAACTCAAGTAATACTTATCGTGAAGCAAGTCGTTGTAGTCAAACGAGCCGTACCGGTTGAACTTATCGAAATCGCCGTTGGGTGGGTACTTTTCCGTCAAGTTAATGGTCTTCCAGCTATTGAACAGCACCTTTAGCGGTAAACTGGTGGGGGAAAACGTGGCCACGTCAAAGGCGGTGATTTTACAGTAACTAAAGTTCTTGATTCCAATGTCAATAGCCACCAAGTCGAGGGTGGGTGGTAGACGAAGGTAGAAGTTGATGGTATGAAGAAGCAGACGAGCTTTCTCCACCTTAGTAGACCGTATGGGCACGCCACAAAGCACCGAAAGTTGGTTGAGGGTTTCAGCCTTATGCTGAAGAAGGCGATTCATACGTCTTAGGCTCGTCAAATGGGTCGGGTAAAGGAGCGAGATTAGGAGCCAGTACTGCGCTAACCTTTTAAAAGGTTGTAACGAGAAATGAAAAATCGCGTGGTGAAAGAACAATCGACTGGGCTACCCGATAAAATACAAAGAAATTTGGGGCACAAACATCTTATTCACTTACTCGATAACCAAACGTAAACAACCACTCGGGTGCTTTGGGACTACGATATTTACGTTTGTGATTGTATTCGTATTAGTGTTAGACGAGGCCGATGGCCGCGTGTACCACTAATACGGTGTGCACGGCGACCCCAGTAACGGAGATGACGAAGGTAATCACGCCAACCCCCCCACTATCTACGCCCAGCACGTTTCATACCCACACGTTGCTACACGTCCTCCTTGTTCTGTGTAGCAAGTGCAGCCTCGAAATGCTCGGGGCAAAGTCGCGTCTGTTTCTAAGGCGGACGCCCCCTTTTCGGAAAATTAAGGTTGCACAGAAATTTATGGGTGTCACCGAGAATGAGTCAACTAAGGTAAGTGGCTCCGGGGAAAAAGATGGTAACAAGTCCAGGAAACTAAGACTTAAACTTGATGCTCTATCACGTTATTGGGGTAGCACGGCTGTGGTCAGGGAGATAGTGGTGCACCGGCTGCGGCGCTTGGAGCCTCCTAAAGCGGTTCATTTTAGGCAGAAAATTAACTCAATTAAGTTAAGTGTAACATATCGTGTAGTCCTTCACACAGCAGAAAAATTTCACACTTCTATTTTAGGAAGCAGGCTGAATGAGAAGGAGAAAAATTTTCAGCTACCAAAAACTATAAAAGGGTTTGCGAAGTACTCTGAGAAATTTTTCTTTTCCCTTATCCACCAATATATTTTAAAATGCAATTCAAGTCTGTCCTCGTCGCTTTAACTGCCATTACTGCTGTCCAAGCCGCTAACGCTTCTAACGGATCTAACGGATCTTCCTCCTCCGACGAATCTGGTGCTGCTATTGTCTCCACCGGATTGTTGGGTGCCGCTGCTGCCGCTGGTGTTGCTTTGTTGTTGTAAGTCTATTAACAAAAGCCTAATTTCAATTTGTTTAACCTAGTTTTAATTTAATAGATGTATTTTTAATGAACAACTCTAGCAAAAGATGTAGAAAGCTATTAGCAAATAGGAGACGAAGGAGACGAAAAAATGAGGCTGTCAAGTTCGCGCCCTCGGCAGATCAGTTGCTACGCCTTGCGGTGTCAATCTACTGATGCATATTTCGTCTTCTGGCATATAATTCGAGCATTGCCCCACGCCTCACCGTCAGTTGAGAGTGCAACCAGTGGGCAGGTCAACTGACGAGCGTTGTTCACCAATGGTTGTCTAGTCAGAATGTCGGGCTGCCTGTATGCGCATTTTATTAGTTTTCTATGTACAATTAAGTAGGAGGTCTGGCCTTGGGACCCCAGTTCTTGGGATTCTCCTGGTAACGGACCATCTTAAGCTTGCGCAAGTGTTTCATCTTGTCACTTTCCTCGTTATCAGTATCAAAATCTACCGTGGTATCGGAGTTTAAATTCTTGAGAATTTTGTACCCGATCATGTTCGGGTTCAAGTTCAAGTTTGTACTGGGATCCTGACGCAAGACGTCTATTTTTGCAGTCAATTTGTCAGTTTTGGTGAGGTTACCAGCATCGTAGTCCGCTATCAACTCGTTGTTTTTCTTGATCAACCACTGCTTATTGATGTCCAAAATCACGTTCCATGGGGCATCGGTCTTGATACAGTTCTTCTTCGCGTGCGTCAAAGAAAGCTTGTACCCTAAATTACCCAATGCTTTGGAAAACTCATTGATGGAAATAGGTGGGCTCTTGAAGAACGACAGCAACTGGTTCAAGTTGAAGTAGAACGGTAATTCGAGCTCATGGAGCGCCAATGTGAGCATTCCCTTAATTCGTTCACTCGTGTGATAGACGTCCTTGTCGCACAGCGCGTTCACCAGGAGAACTTGTTTGACAAACTCCCGATTATGGATACGACCCCCATACATGGGCCCGGCCAAGTTGTAGGTCGACTCACAGTACGGGCACCGGCTTCCCACGTTCACCAACTTGGGAGTCTGATACTTGTAGCTCTTTTCTGTTTTCACTCGCCGTCCCATGTGCTGGTTGTGCTTGTCTCCACATCCGGTACAGTGGTACGTCAACATCGTGTTGGAGGCCAACTCCTTGACATCGAACGCACTGGTCTTGACCTTGACAAATACCCGGAAATAGTAGTCTATTGATAAGGATAAAAGAGGCTCAATGGTCTTTTTATATTTTGCAGCCGTACTGGCAATGCTCTGAAGAATCAACCGGATACCTACCTCGTGATTCAGCTCACTGCCGATGAGGGTGTTACCAAAATTATGGCCTCCGTAGAGCGCATAGCACTTTTCAGGGTACCCACTACCTGCCAACACTCCGGCGTCGGTGCAAGTGACAAGCAAAATACCTTCATCCTTGACGCACTGAAGGGCACTATCGATGAATGGTGCCGCCGTCCCGTACGGGTCAAGGTCCACCACGTGGAACTTCTGGTTGGTCGACGACATGTATTTGATGGCATCTCCACAGTTGGACTTGACCTTGTCACCCAACTGGTTGTGCTCAACATTCTCATCGATGAGCTTGACGGCCTCGGCAAGAAGATCGTTGGCCACCACCTTGTTTACATGCTCAATCTCCTTGGCATACCGAATGGACCTCAACCCCGTAGCGCTCAAGGCCTCCAAAATATTGATGAAGTTTGATGGCTGCTCGCCGGTCGCATCTCGTTTCTTATTGAGGGTGTGGCCGTACTTTTTGTACCAGCTCTGGATGACCATCACAGATAAGTCCCGGTTGAACTGTTGGATGTGGTTGTAGAACACCTTTTCGCCGCCCACGATCTCGGCTTTACCTTCTTTCACTATGCTCATACCTGTTTTTACTGCGGTCTTTATCATAAAGATGAGAGAGTTTTTCACCCATCGCGAACATTTTGTTTTCGAGGAACCGTTAATAATGCTCCTGGACTACGACGGGTACGAAACAGATTCCGACTACTCGCAGTCGGTGCTATCGGCACAAGAACAATGGGAAGAGAGCGTGCAGCAGATCACGGGGCTTGTGAATATGATTATTTTCCCATTGATTGGGAAGTTGTTGGGAAGGCGTTTCAGTAAGGTGTTGTGGGCCCGCTTTGCCAATTGGTACTTTTGATAAGTTTATAATATATTGTCATTAATGTTACATATGATTACACCCAGGGGTCGGTACCCATCTACAAACTGGTGATTAGGGTCTTAAACTCACTTTGTACACTGCCCCTCACAAACGTGAGCATGTACTTCAAAAACGGCTCTATCAACCCATTGGACAACCGGCCCAATATTTGATTGAGGATCTTCACGTACTCGTCGATGCTAATGAACGAGTCCGATGAGTTTGAGCTCGCCGAATTCAGGCTGAATATCGAACTCTGCTCGTTGATGCTGCTGTTGACACTGGTGGTGGTGGTGTTGAACAACCCTAATTCGTTGTTCATGATCAAGTGTTGCCTCAAAATCCCCAAGATCTTGGCCAAGATCATGAGCAAGTTCTTGAAGATGAAGAGAGTGTCCAAGGTGATGTTGATTTCAAGCTTCTCTATTAAGAGTTGGCGGGAGTTCAACTTGATGGGAGAGTTTGCATACTGGTTTAGCGTGGTGCTTGACTGTGAATTGTCCTTCAACGTGAAGCCGATATCGAAGTTCTTGAGAATAACGAGAAGGTTCTTGATGAACTTGATCTGGTATAGCGGCTGGGTGGTGGTAGGATTGGAATTGAGAAAGTGTTTGGGGCTTTCGAAGGGATTCAGTGAAGAAGACGTTTGTCTGTAGGAGCCGGTGGCTTGGATCCCCAATTTATTGTTGATCGTGTTCTGCTGCTGTTTCAGTTGATTGTGCATCTCTTCATCGAGCTGGTACGACTTGAAAAGGTTTCCTAAACTGATACATAGCTTAAGAAGCTTGTTAGACCCCAATGGAAACGGATTTGACTGTGCGAATTTGTGAAGCTCCTTGTAGTTCAACTTGTAGACATTGAGAAACTTGGCAGTAGGCGTCACGTCCGTGAACGGTATAGATTCCATGAGGTTAGTGTAGGAGTCCAACTCATTATCTATCGTGTCAACGTAATTCATGTTGAAATCTAAACTTTTCTTAGACGAGACCCGCGCACTTTCGTACTAGGCTTTTGCTGCTAAATGAACTAAAATGCTTTTGAGCGGATTTTTGGCACTAGTGATTATCCTACTTATTGTCATATTGGTATTCGGCGACTCTCCGAGTTTCAGAGGCTCATGGATCCAAAAGGCCCGCTTGGTTTTTCTCCGGTACAACTCTCGTGCTTTGGGACACATCAGCTCCCTCAATCACCCGCTATTCAATTGGCTGGTACCTATCTTTTATATCGGTACATTATCCTTCTGCTTGTTCCAGTTCTTTTCATGCACCTGGAAACTAGTTCCGGCTGTCATAAAATATAGCTTTGTGCACCAGATTTCCATTGCATTCACCATTGCATCAGTGTACTTTACCACCCTCGTGTGCGTAGTATCGAATCCAGGTGAAGTGCACAAGTACAATGTACAAACCGCCAACAGCAAGTTCCACCACAACGACATCATATACTTCAGGAACAACTTCTGCCGCACCTGCAAGTTCGAGAAACCCGCCAGGTCAAAGCACTGCTCTACGTGTGGGAACTGTGTGATGATGTTTGACCACCATTGCATCTGGATCAACAACTGTGTGGGGTACTACAACTACCGATACTTCATCCTATGGCTTGTGTCAAACCTCACTATTTTGGCATACGGCGCATACATAATGGCACAGGTGATACCGCCACGGCAACTTGCTCACAGCATCAAAATCGATAGAGACCATAAAATTACCGGATGCTTGATGATCCTCTGCGTGATCTTCGACATGGTGGTGGCAGTATTCACAGGACTACAATTTCGGTACATATACCTTGGTATCACCACGAATGAGCTAGATAAATGGGGTGAAATAGAGTATTTGGTCCAGATTTCTTCTTTATACAAGAGAAACGGTGAGTATTTGGAGTTGGTGGATAACCAGCTTATCAACATGCAGAACACACAAGTGTTCCCCTTCTACAATGATGCCGTCAAGGTGTCTAGTGTGGAAGAGATAGACAATATTTATGACCAGGGGTTCAAGCGTAACTTCCATGAAAAGTTTTTTCCCCAGTATATGGGTTAGACATTAATACAAGAAACGACGTTTAAAAGATGCAGCACAGATTGTACCACATCGGACACAGTAGAATAAAAGTGGCGTGAGTGACAAAGGGTATAACCTATTTCTACTTTAGTTAGTACATTTCTCTGAAGAACGAGTATATCATCTAGGTGTTGGTTGATTTCCTTTGAAACCCAAGACATTGTAAAAATGGGTTAAATCATGACGATAACGCATATTATGATTAATCATATATACTCTTGAAGAAATTCACATACGTTTAGAAGTATTTAAAGAAGAACAAGTGAAGTCAAAAAAAAATTTTCAGAGCTGCGAGTTCTTTGATGGAGAGAAAGCACTAGAGACTGATTTTGGGGAGGTACATAATTTTTGCGAGATAGTGAGTAATTTAGTGTGTTAGACCAATAGTGTTTCTGGTTGACTTGAATTAAGAGGGACTGCCAATGAAGGTGTTTTGAAAGTATCAAGCTTGCAAGTCACTTTTTCAACTTTTGTGAAATTTGTACTTTTCACTTTTTGCAGCCACCTCATTTATTAAATTGAACTAAGTATTATTTAAGTTGTTCAACAACTCTTTACACCAAACCTGAAGAAGCCGTATTTTTTCTTTGGGGTCAAAGCTTTCGCTTTGGTTATTCTGAAGCTGGACGATGACATCTGGGTTACTTTGACCAAGTCTCTGTTCGGTGAAAATCTGGTCCATTGTACTCAACTCAACCCTAAAAGGTTCTGGAAAAGAGCTTTTCAAAATACCAAACCAGTGGTCAACTATCGTAAGAATATCCTTCTCCCTATCAGTCTTGCTCGAAAGAAAGAGAAAACGGCTAGTCACTGAATTGGTATTGTACTCAACAGGCTTCGGGGTTGGCACCAAAGGTGTCTCAACGACACTATCTTCGTTGGTGCCCGAACCAGTCGGACTGGTATCACCGCTTGGTTCATCGATATTCATGCCATCATCCTCAATAGTGGCAGGCCCACTAAGAAAACCGACACAGCTTAAGCACTTCATATTAGTGAGAATTTGCTTTGAGTCGAGTGTCGGTGGGTAGTGGAGACTTTTTGAGTTTGAGGCCTTAGACTCAATCACCTTATCTATAAAGTTGACCTTGACGGAGCCCAATTTTCCTGAGCAGCCAAGAGCTAGGAGTTTATCTTGCAATTGAGACTCACTTATTCGAAGAGAATCCTGAATGAACTTGAAGGTTATGAGAGAATATGACTTGAAAAAGTTCAAAAGAATCTTATCTACAATCAATTCCCGGATGATTTGAGCTGACTGAATAAAGATCTCATCCGAGAAAAACTCATCATCCCCCAACTCCTTTAAGCAATCTTTGTAGGTATTCAAGTCGAGCTCACTGAAGCATTCAATCATCACTAACAATTTCTGGAAATCTGATTGTTGGACATAGTGCTGAGTCTCCTGAGATTCAAACGGATTGAATTGATTTTCGGTGATGACGGAAAGCAAAATCAAGTACTTGAAACTTTGGTCCTTTTCGTTGGCTCCACATTCGTCAAAGTTTTTAAAACTATCATAAAAGTTTGCTCTTGAGACCTCATAGTGACCTTTGAAAAACTCAAGTTTCCCTCCACATTCCTTGATGACTCCCATTATTCGTGGATGCGTAACTGGAGAGGCAATTGTCATGCTTTTTTTATACAAGTAATTCAATCTCGCCACATTGAGGGGTTTGTAAAGAGACAAAAGCTCAATCTCAGACGCAATTACTTCCAAAATATATGAGTTCCGTGTCACTTCCGATACACTGGAAAGCTTTTTATTCAACTGGTCAACCATCTGGGAACACTCTTCCAATTTTCGGGCCTGTAACAAGATCGAAAACTTGTTGAGAATACATTTTATCCATAGTCTATTATTTCCAGTCCTGCTACCAGTCAAGTTGATGAACTGAAGAATGAACTGATATAACTCGAGTCTAAACCCAGTGTCTTTGATATTTCCGTAGTTTATCAACACTTTATTGAGCGACTCATCTAAGTACGGTTTGTCTTCCATATATGGAACAAGCTTTAATAGATGCTGTAATGACACTAAGCTTTGGTCGAGTTGATGATTGGAATAATGGATTTTAGCAATCTGCTTTTGGGATTTATAGATCCACTGTATAGAGTCCGGGGACACTTCAGACTTTGCAATTTCTTGTAGCTTCTGTATGGCCATGCTTGTATCTTCATCCTTAAATGCTTTTGCATTATAGTACATAACCTGAAGTTTTTCATTATCATTAAAGTCAGCTTGGACTTCGGCTTCCTGCTCACTTGCATCGTCATCCTCGAACTCAAACTCGTATGACTCTTCTGATTGAAAGTCCTCTGAGTCTGACATTGTAGTAGTGATTATGGGTTGCAGAAGCGCGAAAGATTTGGATCGCGCATTGATAGGGACTAGCATGAATGGGTGAGTAGTTTCAGAGACCTTGAGGTAGTTAAGAGGACATAATGTATATGTATGAGGTGTTCTATATACGTATAATGAGGTACGATGAACAATTCTACAATGATAGAGGCAAGTGCCAGAGCATGGAGCGTATTCTAGCTGCAACTCGGGAGAGCAAGAAAACGCTTAGTGCTCTTCTAACTCCAATTTGAGAAGCTGCCATTAAACCAATTGGACAAACATGGAAATGTCCATTTTCTCGTAAACGTACTACAAGCGTCTTTGGACACTTGGTTCTCAAAAAAGATAGCTCGGCTGGTGAGCATAGACTACCAAAAGTATCCCGTTCAGCCGTCTGCACCTCCTATGATTTCTTGGAACACTTCAAGCCCATGTGTTAATGACCTGAACATTCTCCAATTTACAGAGTAACTAAATACTAGCAAACTTTCGAAAAGGATTGTTAAAATGTACATATCTTTTACATAATTTCGTGATCTAGATTTTTTTTGTCTTTTATCTTTTCAGGTGTCTAATTGATGCAAATAATGCAAATAATTTCCGAGGTTTAAGCTTCAGGAAAACTTTACGGAATGGTGATAAGTGTTGTTTATCAACTGCCTTGCCTTCTAAGTCACCATCTGGTGCTGGAAGAATCATTAACTTGGGCTTGGAGTCTAAGATTTGTCTAATGGCCTCTCTTTGTTCCACTAAGCTGAGATCAGTTTCAGGGATGAGAGGGCTTAGAGCCATCAATGAGGAGCAGGAGCTTGAGAATTTTTCACAAACATCCTTACCGTAGTCAGAAGCTTCTAAGATGGAGGGACTGAGACTCGCGATAGACATATCGTCATCAGAAAAGTATTCCCACACCATTTCCAGAATGGTGGATTCTTTGAGAGCAAGAAACATTTCCTTGGAAGTAGAAACCAACTCCAAAGAATATTGTGTTCTCTTCGAAGATTTCCAATAGGTTTGCATGGAAACCATCTCAGGTTTTGGTTGAAAATTAAATGTGGAAACATTGTCTGGCAAATAAACCAGGCAAGAGTTTCTCAAATGCACGTCAAGCCTGTGCAAAGAAGACAATGACCGGTTTGCTAAAACCGCCCCAAGCTTGAAAATATAAGTATATCCATAATCTTTTGGAACCTTTTGAAGGCTTGGTAAGGAGTTCAAAGTTGGCAATGAAACTGACTGACATTTTGGCAAGAGTGCTTTGCCAAGTGTTTCGGTAACGATTTCACCGTTTGCCAAACGAACCAGTTTGGGAAAAGAAGACAGTTCCCAAATTGACAAGAAAACCTTGCTAGAGAAGTTAGACTTTGGCAAATAAACAAATTCGGACTTCAACTTTTCTAAAGAGTATCCCAGCTTCTTTTGAGAACCAGTGTAGAATTCGTACACCTTAGAGCCAGAAACTGGAACCTTTTCTTCGAAAAATTTAAAGAAGTCATATAATTCAAAGCCCGAAGCTGACTGAGCACAGTCCTTGAACAAATTGTAGAAGTTGAACCCGTTGAAGTCAGAAGTGAGCAGATAGCAGCAGTTTTCGGTTTTATAGCTTTTATAGGAGTTTTGGACTTTTTGGTTTTTTTTGGTGTTTTGGTTTTCAAAAATGGAGTAGAAGTCATAGAAGTTATAGTCAGTAGAGTAGGGTTGTTTTTCGTTTTCAGAGATTGTGAAGAAGTCATAATAGTTTTCTTCAAGCTTATTGTTTTTGTAGGAGTTTTGAGTTTTCTGATGTTTTTTGGTTTTGTGGTTTTCAAAAATGGAGTAGAAATCATAGAAGTTATAGTCAGTAGAGTATTGTTCTTCACATTTTCCAAAGATGGTGAAGAATTCATAGAGGTCCAAGTCGGATGTAAGGCTAGTCAAGCCACCAGATTTAACTAAACCTTGAGGGTTACCAAAGCATCTGTCCTCCTTTCCAAAGATGGTAGAATAGTTGAAGTAGTCAACTTCATTATCCAAAGTACCATCATACTTCGCCAAGGCAGAAGTCTTGTCAAAGATGGAATAGTAGTGGTACAGCTGAAAGTCTGCAGTAACACCAATACATCCACTAGAATGGATGTTAGTGGTCAAACTGGTCTTTTGTGGTACAGGAGGGAAATCGTCAAGAATGGCGAAAACGTTGTATAATTTGAAG